CTATTGCTGGCTTCTTTGATTCTCAGGCTCATACCGATTCGGACAACTTCGACTGGCTGGCCCAGTATGGCAGCGACAGCGTTATCAGCGGTATACCCCACTGGGGTGGACTGGTCTTGGATATCGGCGACGGTAACTACTTGGATGCCACTGCCGACAAAAGCACCATCTCCAAATTTCAGTCGACTTACGACTTCAAGGCTGGTATCCTACAGTGGGCCTACCAGTGGACACCGCAAGGCAACAAGAGCTCCTTCCAAATCACTTACCGCCTTTTCACCAACAAGCTGTACATCAACCAGGCTGTGGTGGATATGGAGGTGGTCTCCTCCACTGATGCCGAGGGAATGATCGTCAATGTCCTTGACGGTACCGCGGCAGTGCGCACCGACTTTATCGAGTCCGGCGAGGACAGCGGTGCTATCTACACGGCTGTACGGCCTAATGGAATCGCCAACGTCACTGCCTATATCTATGCCGGTATGGACGGCAGCTCGGACGTGGACATGTCGTCCGCCAAGCTTGCCTTTAACAAGCCGTACGTCAGCACCAACGCCTCGTCTATTGCCCAGTCTGTGGATGTGAAGTTCCAGGCAGGCAAGCCGGTGCGCGTCACCAAGTACGTCGGCGGAGCATCTACCGACGCTTTTGTAGATCCCAAGTCCGTCGCTCAGCAGGAGGCCGCTGCTGCAATGAAGAATGGCTATGCCAAGTCTCTTCGTTCGCACGTCACGGAGTGGGCCACCGTCATGCCCGACAACTCGGTAGAGAGCTATGCATTCCCTCAAAATGGCACTCTACCCGCGGACATGCATATCATTGATTCTGCTGTGATCGCCGTGACCAATACCTACTACCTGCTACAGAACACTGCAAGCAAGAACGCTATCAAGGAAGCTAGAAACGCTCCCATAAATATAGACAGTATCTCTGTGGGTGGCTTGACTTCGGACTCCTACGCTGGACAGATCTTCTGGGATGCTGATGTTTGGATGCAACCTGGGCTGACTGCCTCTCACCCCGAGGCCTCCCAGCGCATCACGAACTTCCGTGTGGCAAAGTATGGGCAAGCACAGGAAAACATCAAGACTAAATACGCCGGCTCGAAGAACCAAACCGACTTCTCTCCTGCGGCAGCTGTCTACCCCTGGACCAGCGGACGATTTGGCAATTGCACGGCCACCGGTCCCTGCTGGGATTACGAGTACCATATCAACGGTGATATTGGCATGGCCTTGGTCAACCAGTGGGTTACCAGCGGTGACAACGACACCTTTAAGGGAAGCCTTTTCCCCATCTATAACTCTGTTGCCACTTTGTATGCCGATCTGCTGCAGCGTAATGGGTCGTACTGGACTCTGACTAATATGACCGACCCCGTAAGTTTTGCATTCGGATTTGGTCAGCAGAACCTGACACTATATAGGACGAGTATGCGAACAATGTCGATGCGGGAGGTTTCACTATGCCTCTCATCGCTGAGACTTTGTCGTATGCCAATGCCTTCCGTCAGCAGTTTGGGATAGAGACGAATTCGACCTGGGATGAGATGGCCGCCAATGTCTTGGTCCTCCGTGAGAACGGCGTGACCCTCGAATTCACTACTATGAATGGAAGTGCCGTGGTCAAGCAAGCGGACGTTATTTTGGACACTTATCCTCTAGACTACGCCACTCAGGACCCGTTGAACGACCTAGACTACGTGAGTTGTTCAAAGGTCAACGCATGACTACAGGCCTAACAAGTGTAATAGTACGCCAACAAGCAGTCTCCTGATGGACCGGCTATGACCTGGGCTATCTTCTCGATCGTGGCCAACGAGATATCGCCCTCTGGATGCTCGGCTTACACCTACGGTCAATATTCGTACAAACCATATGCCCGAGCTCCTTTCTTCCAGATGTCGGAGCAGTTGATCGACGATGCTGCCATCAACGGAGGCACCCACCCGGCATTCCCGTTCCTAACTGGTCACGGTGGTGCTAACCAGGTTGCCTTGTTCGGCTACCTAGGACTGCGTCTGCTTCCCGACGAATACTTGCACGTTTACCCCAACCTGCCGCCCCAGATTCCGTACTTGAAATACCGAACGTTCTACTGGCATGGATGGCCCATTGGTGCCTGGTCCAACTACACCCACACTATCATCAGCCGGGCCACTGATGCCCAGGTTCTTGATACCGCGGACCAGCGCTTTGCCGACCAGACGATCACCGTGCGCTCGGGCCCTAAGACAAACTTTACCGTGTACAGTCTCCCGGCATCGGGCTCCCTCGTCATCCCCAACCTCCAGACCGGCTCCCGCAATACTATCACCGGCAACCTCGTCCAGTGCCAGCCTGTTCAGTCTGTGAACACCTTCGAACCGGGTCAGTTCCCTATTTCCGTGGTGGATGGAGCCTCCTCGACCAAGTGGCAGCCCGCCTGGGCGGCAAACATAAGCGCTGTGACTGTCTCATTCGGCTCGAAAGCCGGCTCCATGGTCTCGGGCTTCTACTTCGACTGGGCCCAAGCACCTCCCGTCAACGCGACGATCATCTTCCACAACCAGACTCTCGGTGACCCTACCATGGCCTACTACAGCCAAAGCTCGAACTATCAGGTTGTGGCGTCACTTCACAACATCGCTCTTTCTGGCCCCTACAACCCGCAGACCGCCAGCCTGGACGTCATTGCCATCCCTTCAGGCAACACCACCAACGTGACGCTTTCCGACCCCGTCCCGGCTACTAAGTACGCATCTCTCCTGATTGTCGGCAATCAAGCTCAGGAGCCTGTTGGCGCGACTGTTGCCGAATGGGCGATCATAGGGCAGGGTCAGAACTCGACCCCGTCTGGTTCTCAGATGGCCAAGCGGAAATTTGACGTACACGCTGCTGCGGCTCTGTCGAACTCGAGTTCTTTCATACAGCGCCGTCGACAGATTCCCTCCTTGAACTAGGACCACATCCTTGGAGATTTAAAATCTGTGAGTGTATAACTTGGTTGATGTACGAATTTACAATACCGTATGTTTTTCAGAACGCGCTCTTGATTTACTACGGTTGGTTTTTGTTAATAGAAATTGCACAATGCACTTTAAGCACCAAATCCATCAGTCAGCGAATCACTAAACTTCGAATGCGATTTTGTCAATACTTAAATCAAACATCGCATTTACAGAAGATTTCGCTGTGAACTCTCAATCAGCTATTTTAGCTCTTTCGGGCAATTGAGGACCTTCTCCATCCCTCATGTCACGTTTATCGCACAAGGCCTCCGATGCGATACCCCTTCTATCCCAGTACTTTATATAGAACCATATTTTTCAGAACTCATTTTCTTTATAATACCTATAACGACCCAAGGTTTTGTATATTAAATTTTCTTTTACGAATTTTCTATATCAAACTACGCGGCTTTGAAAATTGAACATCATGATCTGTTCCACTTTTGAGTTATCGTGTATGGGGGATTGCCTTAAAATGCGGAAATTATGTCGGACCACCACTTCCAACTCCTCTATTTCAATCAACAATTTTTTTTTTTAGATCTTAAGACAAATACATATAATAATTCGGCCATTTACTTACATTTTAATATAACATTTATAACAAAAAGTCTGACTTTGTGGTAAGAATATATCTTAAAAGTCGTGAAATTTACGGATTTAAGGCGGGGAACATGGGAAGTATAGGGAAACTGATCCTACGGGATGTAGTTTTGAGCCGATGGCCTTGTTAGACTGCCGTACCCGCCATAAATAAAGAGGGCGAAAATGCAAGTTACAAGGGACCGTCAACCGCCTTGTTCTCTATTACCTACATATACCCCACGGCATATGAGCCTACATGTCGACCGGGCAATCAAATGAATAAAACGTTGGTGTTCATCAGCATTCTCAAAGCAGTGTAAACCAGTGCCTCAGAGCATCCCAACAGTGTCTCCCCCAAAGCACTGTCAAATATGACCACATTATTGCAAATTTTTGAATCTGGGGACATTGTCGCTCTCGCTCTCGCTTTCTGTTTCCCTCGAAGACGGCCCAAAATTTGGTCTGGAGGTACGAACTGAACCATAGGCCACCACCAATAACACCCAGATGGCGGGCGCTGAACCGAAAGCACTGATTTCTTAAAGCGTTGATAATCAACCCTGATTTGTATTATTGGCCAAAGGAATTATTGTCCGAACCTCCATAGGCCAGGCCAGAACCAACTTTTGCCAAGAAAAAGCAAAATGTCAACCGAACTGCCAAGAATATCCTCAGATCCGAACATGAACTATTAGATATCATGATTACTGGAAATTAAAGCAGAAGGCCAGTGCCACCTAGCTCTTGGCGACTCTAAAATCAGGTTTGCCTTAAGCTGTCATGGTAATGCCAAGAGCACCGTGAAACCCCGTGCTCAAAATCTGGCCGGTCCGGTCCGATCAGGCTTGGCATTTTGGCCCGTCAATTATCTGGCGGTAGTACATCGGAGTCATACTCTCTCTGCAGTTGTATTACCATATATCAGAATAACAATAATATTGTGCTCATGTAGTCAACAGCAAAAATGTGCTTGACGTGGTCGCTTAACCACATCGTGGTGGGGGACCTATTCACTCTGAGATCGCGCCAGATAGGATTCAAGGTATATCATTGAATGGAGCGATATAACTTCCAGTCAGTCAAATGCTAACGGGGGAGCTATCTAAAGAGTGCCTAGGCAAAACCCTTAAATAAATAACTTATTTGACCCGACGTCTAGGCTTTTGTAAGTACATAGATTCCGATTTCATTTGTGCAGATTGTAGTGGATCTAACTTTAGTCGGTTGGAAATTTTCATACCTGAGATTATCAGGATTTTTTGATATTTTCTGATATTAATAACAAAGTCAGCAAGGAAGCCAAACTCGAACATAATTAGTTGCCAATACATAATATGAACTCCATTGGAATACATGTTTTTGAAATTGCAAGCGATATTTTCCTAGCTATTCCTCTCCACAAAACAAGAAGCGAACTATTTTTGATTCACACAGGGCATGGGTTCGACGCGCCAGCTAGACAATCGATTAGTTTAGTCTCTTGCACCTGTTATTAACAAGCCACAAGGGGTCACTTACGGCACCTTCGAGGCTTATCTTCTTCTTTGACCCACCCTCTTGGGGCGCTGTACCAAACTCCAGAATCCGAGTTTCTATAGCGTTGTCAGCAAGCTGGTTGAGATTTACTATGGTTCGAGAGACTCACTGGTACTTGCAAAAAGAGGTAAAAGTGGCACCTAGGAGAGACGTGCCGTTTGAGGGACTTGAGTCGCAAGGGTACTTGTAGTATGGATAAGTTCGCTTGACCTCACAAACGTTCGTGTCGCCGTATCCGCGGTGGTCTCCGTAGCCTTTGTCATTGCCACCGCCTCGCTCTTCAAGGGAATCAAAATGCGGTTCCGCAACCGGTGTTGCTGCAGTTAGCTGAGAAGCAAGGGGAAGAAGCGCAACAAGAATATACGATGGCGACTTCATAATAAAATAAAAAAAAATAAAATACAGAGACAGATATGAATGTTTCAAGATACTGGGTCTGTTATATGGATTGCAAGGAAGAAGAGTGATAAAAAAATGTTGTTTTCTCTCACAGGAACTGTATTATCAGATGAATCTTCACTCGCTTTATACAAGATCCAGTGGCAAGACTTGTGGGTTCACAAATACCTCAGTGATCATGAGATAAGTATTAACAAGGATTTAGCTACCCAAAACTCAAAGAAATACGAGAAGATAAAATGGCGATGACTCGAAGAAATGATCTAGACCGACTCAAGTTGGCATTCTCTAACGTCAAAAATCAACTGCGGAAATATTTTGTTTGTCAAATGGGAGACACGTACGTCAGTACCGCTTGATAACCTACGACTATAGTCCCAAGAAGCTAGTATCCAAAATCAGATCCTGTTGTATACCACTCGTGATCAACAGAAAACTGATGTCAGATTCTGTCATTTTTAGAGATGTATCATATCAACATTCCGATAGCGTTTTGACGTCATTCACCGAATCGGTAATAGAGCAGATTCTTAAACTCCATTGGTTGACTTAATAAGATGATCGATGGTTAAAAAAAGCTTAGATTCACTTTTTGCCAAGCCCTTTTGCCAGATCTTTCATGCCAAGTAAAAAAGGAGTCATAACTACTTGGCGTTCTAATTCGGGATCTGCCCCACTTCGACTTTTTGCCATATCCTGATATCTGAAGGTAAAAAGCGTTCTCATTGCAGACATTCTTTTGTACCACGGGTAGGTATCTAAATAGCTAGCATACCGACTAGTGTGTCGTATTGCTGTAGACGGAGCCGTATATGGCTACAAAGTACAGTATGGACACGAGGTAGGTAGCAGGGGAGTCTTGCCAGGTAGCTAAGTCCGGACCAGCCTCCCTGTTTGTACTGGAGCATGATCAGGCGTACGGATTACGAGTTCTTGCTTCATTTGGAAGAAGCGCCTGGTTGCCATTACGATACTAATTAGGCTCCAACAGATCGATAGAACTTTGATTGATTAATTTATTGATTGCTTGTTGGACAACAAAACAAAAGAACTAATACATGGCTTTTTTTCTACCAAAGAAGCCTCCATGGATTCGATCCTTGCTTATAGGGACCAAGGTGTAATACAAATTCATCTCATTTATGAAGTTATCAGACGCCGCGCTCTGATACAGCTTTGATTACAGCGTAAGGGACTATTGATAGACCGATCTTTGTTCAATCGCCCAGTCCGATAGTCGAGGAAGCCTGAACTAAAATAGCCTCAAACTCATCTCTTCTCATTACAGCACCAAACCTAATCAGTCAAAGCAGTCCCACGTTAACGACAAATACAGATTCACCGCTGCAGAATACACGTACCCGTGGCATTTGATTAGCTTCAAAAGTGACGAACTCAGACGCCTGAGGATATCTAGGTCGAGCCTACTTGTCCAAGGTTGTTGGACAAGATGAAACCAAGCCTGGGTTGGGCTAAGCTCATCCTCGAGAACAAGCTCTTCAGACAGGGCTAGCAGTCTGTCAAAGATGAGTGCGGGCTTATGCGATGGCGGAGCGCATTGATGGCTATTTGAGCGGATGAATGTGGCAGATGCAAGCAGAGCATGGCCGTTAGGCTTGTCTGGGTGGCGATCTAAGTGGGGGAGACAAGGGTGTTCCAGTCTGTAAGTGCATTAGGGGACAGGGAAAGATGTAAAGTAAGGGAATACTACTCACGCCAAGATAAATTCCATACCCATGTCAGTCATCTTTTGGTTAAACGGCTTATTGGCGCATAGTAATTGTGAATCCTTCGATTGAACTAGAGCAGTGCGAGATGGAGAACTGAATAATTGGTCCGGCGGTGGATCGTTTGTTAATCCAGCTGGTTGGCCGTGGGAGTCTGTAGAGTTGTTTGACTTGATAGGGGCGCAGATACTTTCGCTAGAGAGATCGATATATGCATCGGTCCTTTCAAAATCCATATCTGGTTTGGATGCCCAGGAACTAATCCCATCTTGGACATTGCCATGGACATGAAACGGGGTTTTAGAGGGGAGGGGGTCTGGTCTATTACCCTCAGTAGCACAAAACGGTGCTGATATTATAGATTGATCATGTTTCTTCACAATCCCCTGGAGCACATCGACCTGGTTGCGAAGGTTCTGAACTTGAATGACCAAGTTCACTTCATTTGCGCGTAAACGCAATACCTCACTCTCTAGATTCTTAAAGTACTGGTCTTTGCGTAGACGGTGTGTGCTGCCGAACATCAGCATGATTTGGGGTTACAAGAAACACTTCCATACCGCTGGGCTTTCCGAAGCTGTTCTCGTCGCCTAAAGAGGGTCGAGCTAGTACTGCCTGTGATTGGTAATCAGTAGGCCATATCAATCATGAAACAATGCTTCTCCGTTACGAGGAAACTTGAATTTGACCTCTGTACCTGAATCAGAATCTTGCCGATGGCCGGGAAGAAAGGTAAAAGCTTTCTTCATGATTGATTCAATGGTCTTGGCAAGTTGATCCGGACGATAAATTGCGTTTGGAGATTGAGATTGAATGACCAGAGAGATAAAAGGCTAGGTAAAAATGGGGAGGAGATTAAACTGACTGGGGACAATCAAGGAGGTAGCCATCGAGTAAGTAAGCCTTGGCCCCGGTATCCACTTTGATCTCATAATCATGGAGTTGCGGCATTTAGTTATATTAGCGGTAAATTAGTTCCACTTTGGATAGAGTTTTAGCATATCATAGCCCAGTTGTGCCGCAGCAGTGGATTGTTGACCTAATCAACATTTCCTAATTAAGCTAGTGCAAACTTCTAGCGTCTATTCGGTTGACTTCGAAGGGGACCAACCAGATTTTGGATTGTTGACTATATCATTCTTTCCCTTCTAGGATAGCTTGCAGCTAATTTCAATATCGATCATGTTGACTTAATCATTCTTCCTAAATCTATGTAGTTCATACCTTCATACCATGGTGCAGGGTCACCCGGTCGGCGTTAACCCCCTGGAGCGGAGGATGTTATATAAAGAGTCCGCTGGAGCCGGTGTCAATGAGATTCAATTCTCTACTAATTCCCTATTGTCGCATAGGCTTCCTTTTCTCAATCTCTGTGCAAAATGCGTTCTACTTTCTCTCCTTTTTGCCTGTGGATACCATTCCTCGCAGGGTTTGCGTACGCCAACATAATAAATGCATGCCCCAAAGGCCCTCAAGAATCCTCTGGTCCGGGTAAAACCATCTATCTTCAGACCAATGAGCAACAAAACTCGATTGTTTCAATTCCTATCGGACATGATGGGAAGCTCTTTGGCGGTATGACCATCACCACGGGTGGCAGGGGAGGTGACAGTATCGACGGGACCACCAACAAGCCTGCTGCTCCAGACGCCCTCTCATCGCAGGGTTCAGTGATAGTGACCGACAAGGTAAGTTTAAAGATATCGCATGGGAGTTGCAGCTGGGACCTATGAGCTGATTCTATCCACTAGTATCTTTTCGTCGTAAACGCCGGATCCAATACTCTCAGCATGTTCAGAATTGGCGAGACCGATCCCACTCACTTGTATATGGTCGGCAAACCGGCCATCGTACCTGGTGAATTTCCTGTTACGGTTGCAGCTTCAGTGAAGCGAAGCGTGGTATGCGTCGGATACACGGGCGCTAAGGCTGGTACTTCTTGCGCTTCATTTACGTCTGAGGGACTCGGTCAAATGAAGCAAGCCGTTGAATTTGACCTTGGCCAGACCACGCCTCCAATAGGGCCCACAAACACCCTCGCGCAGGTATTCTTCACTGCAAATGATACTCGTTTGATCACCACTGTCAAGGGGGATCCGAATACCAACAAGACCGGTTTCGTCTCTGTTCTACTATTCAAAGATTCACGATCATACACCTTTGAAAGCCGTGATACCCGAAGCTCACCATCCGGGACTGCTGTGCTATTCGGTGGTGTTAATATCCCCGACACCTCTGATCTCTTGATAACAGACGCGTCGTTTGGGGCCACACTCCTCAACCTCAATTCGACAACAAATAAGGTGTCTATTCAGCGCACTTTAGTCATTGAAGGCCAAAAGGCAACGTGCTGGGCTGCTTATTCGCATGCAAGGGAAAGTGTCTTTGTCACCGATGCCGCAGCCAATCGACTGATTGAAATCAGTGAAGATGGCTCCAAAATCATGTCAACTCTTGACTTGAAGAATGGTGACCCTGGGCTTATTGATATTCAAATTTCTGGTCGCTTTGTTTACGCTCTTTCCCCCGGCAATGGCACAACACCTGCTGCGATCACTGTGGTTGACTCCTTCCAGGGTCGTCAGATTCAGCATTTCATGCTCAACAAGCTAGGCGTAGGGAAACGCTCCCAAGGTATGGCTATATTTGAATAGGTGCATTGTATGGCAGAGAGTATAGCTGTATCCGTCTGACTATGTTGAGCCCTGGCTCACATAAACCACCTCTTGCAATTCTAAAGTGCCCTCATTTGTGCTAGAGTGGATAGAAATCTAACCAGTCATTTTGTGCTATTACGTATCGTGCGAATCTTATTTGGATTATGTCAAACACCGAAACGTTACATATTTTTATTTCACACTGTAATATGGAATGTCCAAGTTCAGATATCAGGAGCAACATGAATGGTAACGGATGATGGAAGAAATGCCGATCGTTTGACTTTTCACTAGCCGAGCATTTTAAATTACATTGCCCTCCTGCATAATTTTTGAGACAGACAACATGTTTTGCGGAACCGCCAATGGAATATCCGCCTGATTCACTAGGAGAGCCTCACCGGCTGTTTGACCACCAATGCGGATGGAAGAATCAGCTCCTCGACTTGCTAAGTACTCAAGATACTTGGCCTGTACATCAAGCTTCTCCCTCCAATGATAGGAGTGAAATCTTTCTTCCAATGTCAGGAGCTCTTTGTGAAAGGCTTTGCATACCGCATGCAAAGCCGTTGGTCCGTCCTCGGCCCCCATGCGGGCATTGATGTTGGCCCCCGACGCCAAAAGCCGCTCAATTGTGGCGCTGCCAATTTTCTCTAGGGGCTTATTCCATATGCATAAGCCCCTTTGTAGGATGTATTGGCTCAATAGTATGGTAGGATCCACCTTTAAATCCTCCAGAACATAGGTCAAGAGACCTTGCCATGTCGCTGAAACTTGGACTATTGTATCCCCAAAAACCAAAAGTTTAGAGTCGTAGGAAGCGAGGGACTCAGCAAGCGTGCCAACACTGATCGCGTGCCGGAGCAGATATTGCACAGCCAGGAGAAGACCTGGACTCGTGACCAATTTGATTAGTCCCCACTTCTCGAGGATGAAGTCCAGGCACATTTGGGAAGGGCTCCAATAGCACCTCACCCAAGGCGCACTGTGTATTCGCTCCAGGTCTCCACGATCTGGAATGGGAATGGGCTGTTGAAGGAGTGCCCCTCGGCTAGCCAGAAATACGAGTCCATCGACCGGGTGCAAGGCATGCGACGGTTCGTCCCAGTTGTGAATGGAATCAACATAGACAAGCGCAGGACTCATGTATTGGTATTTTTTGCAACCATGGTAGCTATTTTCGCAAATCACAGGTGCTGGATGGTTGATGTCTGCGCCATGGTGTAAGCATCGCTCGATCATAGCTGTCCTCTGGCTTGACATGCATGTCACAGCGGCCATGATGGGAATATGCGAAGGCTGACGGACAGGACGAGTAACATGGGGTCCATGAATAAGTCCTCCTTTCTCGATCAGGAGATCCAGAACATCAGTGTGGGCCTTCCGAATTGCCACAGTCAGGGGAGTCACCAGTCGGTTGCCATAGAAGGAGAATATCTCATTGGGGTTACCACCGCGGTCCAGTAAAAGGCGCACCGGACCAAGCGGAGAGGCCGATGCCGACTGGGAGATTATCCCAAGCAAAGGTACGGTAAAGGGACGATGGTGCCGATAGTGCCCCGTACGAAGCTGATGGTCGAGGCCGGCATTCAGGTAGAGGTGCAGCAGAGCCCAATCATGTGCGGGGCTGCAAATGCGGCTGACGAAATGAGGGATGGCCCCTTTGCCCAAATCAGGATGATCGAGCCGTGCGCCAATACCAGGCAGGTACTGGAAAGCTTCAATTTGCTTTTTAGTGGCTGCCAGATGTAAAGTGGATGTTTTGATGTAACACCCCGAAGAACTAGTTCTCACAGAAACCACGCTAGGGGATGCACCTAAGGAGACTAGGCGACCAATGGCTTGGCAATTTCCATGCGAGCACGCCCAGCCCATTGCGAGGTCCATGACATGTTCTCTGCCGTAAAAGATTGGGTCAAGCTGGTGGTATAGCTGTCTGTTTGTGGCTAATAGAGATGCCAAATCACGATCTCTCAAGTGCGATATGATCGCATGGAGAAGCTCGGCGGGAAGTGTATCCAGCCGTCCTAGTTTATCCATAATTTTTTGGATGATTAATCGAAATAGATGGGTAGTAAAAAATAGTGGTCAGATAATATTAACAAAGTCGCTTGATCATGTGGTAAAATAGTCGGATATACTAACCCTAACCTGATCTGATTAACCCTACTCCTATACCCTCGGAATATACGGAGTCAGAGTACTCCGTCCATTTTCTCAATAAAAGATAAAAACTCAGACTAATCATTTTGATAATTATTACCAAAAATTGGTTTCAGTCTAGATACATCCGCTGCTCGCCACATTCATTGCCTTTTTGCCCCCGCCAAGGCCCTTTGATGCTCCTTGACTAGATCCGTTTCTTGAAGTTTGTTGTAAACAGTTGTGAGCAGAGTCAGAGCCTGTTCTTTGGTCAACCCCAGCCCTTCGGTGGCTGCCAATTTGGTGGCCGTAGCATCTTTGTAATACACTTTGCAAGGCTCTCCCCACACCACCTCGCTCGCATCAAGCATCCTGGTTACAACCGAGATTAGCCTTTTCTTCTCCACGTCGGTATATTTTGCTTTGAGAGCTGTTTTAATAGCTCCTGGCTCTTGCATTCGAAGTTCTTTTTCCCGATATGCGTAGGACATCTTAGACGATTCCACCGCATGATTGTTCCAAGTCTTGAACAAATCCTTTAGCTCATCACTCAGCTTATTGGGATGAATGATCCTCCGATGATATTTACCGCATTTTGTTGAAGTGTAATAGATAAGACGATAAGACCAGAGAGAATTGAACAATTGCCAGCGATCCTGTTTCACAAAATTAATTTCTATATGTGTTCGAAACTTGAACACGTTGACGACCCTTCTAGTTTTGGGCTGTTTGATCGGAAATATGCCATGATGCTACCTGCTCAATTGTATTTCTGGTCCTCACACGTGATATGCTCGTTTCGAACTAGCCCCTGGAGAATACCCTATAAAGGTCCACACGCCAGCCTGATTTGATTTTTTTTAATTTGGACCTACGCTTCGAATCCACAGGCCCTTCAGTATCCTTTTGTATTCATCTCTTTATTTCCTTTATTTACGCTGAACATGGAAGTTGTCAGTGACTTGGCCGCCACTTATGAGGAGCCAAGATCCATAGATTACAAATTACCATCCTTCCTGGACTGCAATGAAGACCTGCGAAGTCATTTTCTTCCTTCGCAAGAGCAGCTTCGCTCAATCCTTGAACTCTCCCTGTCTTATAGGAGGATACTTGATGAGGATATTCAGGTCAATTTCATGTGGCCAACCGAATCTTCAATAGTTGTCAAAAAGCAGATAATATCTCATAGTTTTGTCCTCCATAAACTCTATATGTTATTGTTCATCCAAAGCCTGAGCCCCATCCAACTTCTTTTGGAAGATCAGAGAGCATTATAAAAAGGAGGGAAAGCAGGAGAGAGAGACAAGAACACTTTCTATATCACTGAGTCATATTGAATCTCATACATTGCTGATTTCCATTGTCTCGAGCAATATGAGATTGCCTTCGTCGTATGAGATAATACACTCTCCCAGTAGCGCCAAGAATCTCACCTTGAGGTAATGCAGATCTAGCCCCCAGATATCCCTCACAATGTGCTTGCAAGCTCACTCGGTGACTGTCGACTTCTCGGGTTCTTCAATGTGATGGACCGTCTCCATCTTCCCTCCGACTTCCAGCTCCAGTACCCCACACTTTCGTAAAGCCTGCGAGTATTTAGTCACTTGCCACCAGTTCTCAGGTTCTCGGAATAAATTGTCCATCTCCTCGAGTGAGAGGCCTCTCGTTTCGGGGAAAAAGAACAATATGAGTATTGAAACAGAGAATGCAATCACGGCGTATACAATGTAATAGCGATATTTGATGGTGACGAAGGCGACTGGAGTGATCTCAGCAATGACAAAGTTGAAAAGCCAGTGTGTTGCCGTCCCGATGGCCGAAAGATGCATGCGCAGATCCTGCGGGGCAATTTCCGTGCTGTATAGGAAATTGGCCCCAAGGAAGCCAAGAGGGAAGAATGTCATGTAGAAGAAAAGGAAAAAGGTAGCCGCCACGGAGGCTGCATATGTGTAATGGTCCTGCACAACCCAGACAGTCACTGCGAGTGAAGCCATCGACACACCCATCCCCATGCCAGAGATAACGAATAGCGGCCTTCTTCCAAAACGATCGACCGTAAGGTAAGCCGAGATGGCAGCAAAAATTTTCCAAGTGAGCACGCCGGCGTTGAGTAGCGATGCCCTCTGCTCTGGCAAACCCAGGGACGCTTGGAAAATGGTGGTTCCGTAATAGGAGATAGCATTTGCACCAGTCATCTGTGCAGCGAAGTTGATACCAACAGCAAGGCATAGGCGGTAAAAAAGACGTTGACGGTTGTGCTTGAAAAGGTCGGAAAAGCCACGCTCAGAAGTAGAGGCTTCTTGAAGGGCGTCAGAAATAGCGCGTATCTCTTGAGTGATGTCCTCATGGCTGGCATTTTCAGGACCCGCGAGCGTGACCATAACGGCACGAGCTTCTTCATCTCGACCCCTACTGATTAGCCAACGAGGAGATTCTGGGAACCACCAAGTCGCGAAAATGAGTATGAGAGTAAAGATTATGGGCAGGCAGAGAGGTAGACGCCAGGCAACTTCGCTATGCGAAACGTGGGAGAGGCCATAGTTAATCCAACCAGCAGCAGCAATCCCCGTGGCGATGAAGATACCGATAATAACAACGTTCTTCCCTCGGCTTCTAGGCTTCGTGCACTCGCTCTGCCACACAGGTACGATGGCGTTAACGCCGCCGTTGCCAATACCAGACAGAATGCGGCCGACAACCAACTGGCCAAGTGAAAAGGAAGTTGCCTGGATTAAGAGGCCGACGGTGGCCACAATAGACACCAGTATCAATGATTTGCGACGGCCAATACGATTTCCAATCTGCGTAACACCCAGGGCGCCTATAAGGCAGCCGATTGTGTAAATGGCAACGACCGTACCTGCATGAGATTCAAAGTGGTTACTAATGATCCCTTCATTATGACGGTAATTCACGCAAACTAACCCTGGACTTTGGCATTTGTACTCTTGGTAGATCCTTCGGTGTCCGCTGTGTCAAGACGAGGAAAGTACTTGATGAAGGAAGGATACCCTAGAACGCCTCCTATGTTTGACTGGTTGAAACCGAATAATAGAAAGGCAGGGACAACTATCATGACAATACGAGCCCTCGCTAGTGCTGGACCTGTGAGGCCAAAAAAGCCCATAGTCATTTTGAGGACTTATTCCAAAAAGTAAAGCCTCTTGCACCTTCTGGATGAGATATTGCGGCTTTCGAGGGCTTGGAAGGGATCTGAAAGGTGCTCGTGGGCGGAAAAGGCGAGCAAGACAAGCCCCCTTTATAGCTGGCACCACGGATATGTTTGAGACACATTATAATGGCTATGGCATGTCAGGCTAGAACGAACTCAAATGCCCTGAGCTTAGTTTGCAACTACCTATACTCCAGACTGCTACCCCACAGTCGATAATACCCCGAAATATTTAGCAAGGAAGTACATCTCGACATTCTTCGTAAATCCGAAGAGGCAAATAAGTTCCCGTTAATTGGTCATCGGGGCGGATATTTACTGGAGGCTCGTGGCGGATATTGGCTCCAATCGCGCAACGAAGCGCCTGAACCTTTCCCCGCTTCCTTCTGCCTCATTGGAAGATTTTCAAGATGCTGCGGAGCATACTTCAGCCATAACTAACATTCTTCTGTGGGTTTGCGTCTAAATAGATCTAGCCAGACGGAAGTCTAAATCACGAAATTGGCCCAAAATTGGTTCCAACATGACGGTTGCTTGCGTGGTGATCCAAAGAAATGATTGAAATATCGAACATGCGCCCTTTCTTTTCGGTAATAAACTCCAGTCACAAAAGGACTTCATTTGTTCGCAGCTACATCACAACAATGTCTCCAGCCAAGCCTCTTGTTCTATTCTTCAGCCCCGTCCGACATGCTACATCGACGTATGAGCAGCTACAGCAAGTGGCCCAGACGGAGGTTGTGACCAGCCAAAGCAGGGATGAATTCTTTGATGACGTGGCGACCAAGTACCAGAACGTTTTCGCAATCTATCGGACATCTGCTAGTGGCTCCGTATGTCTTTCTCTGTTTTATTTTCATCAGTTGGCCAAAGCTCCAATCGAGTAATTTGCAAATCCGAGCAACCGACTGACCAATGGATTTGATACAGGTAGCCGGAAAGTTTGATGCTGATCTCATCAATCGTTTGCCCGCTGGCTGCCGATACATCTGCCACAATGGCGCAGGTGCGTACCAATCTGATTAGTACGGCGTGAAGAAAATCGCCCAGAGCTAACATGTAATTAACCAGGATACGACCCTATTGATACAGCTGCCTGTGCAAAGAGAGGCATCATTGTCACTAACGCGCCCGACCCAGTTACCGATGCCACTGCCGATCTGGCTATCTTCCTCCTTCTAGGGGCTCTGCGACAGCTGAACCCGGCCATTTTTTCATTGCGTGCTGGAACATTCAAAAACGGCGTCGATTTCGGCCACGATCCTCAGCAAAAGTTACTTGGTATTCTGGGTATGGGTCGAATTGGACGCGCAATCAAGGCTCGCTGCGACCCATTTGGCCTCAAGTCAATTTATCACAATCGCAACCCGCTGTCACCTGAAGAAGCGGCTGGCGCCGAGTATGCTTCCTTCGAGCAACTGCTCGCCACGAGCGATATCATCAGTGTCAATGTGCCCTTGACTTCAAAGACAAAGCACCTCATTGGTGCGAAGGAAATTGCCAAGATGAAACCTGGAGTTGTGATCATTAATACGGCTCGTGGCGCTATTATTGACGAGGCTGCCATGGCTGATGCCCTGGAGAGCGGTCATATCGCTGCGGTTGGTCTCGATGTGTATGAGGATGAACCTACGATCAACGGGAAGCTCCTGAAGCAGGATCGGGCCCTCATGGTGCCCCATGTGGGTACTCACACCACTGAAACACTGGCTAAGATGGAGTCCTGGGCGATGGAGAATGTGCGGCGTGCGATTTCCGGAGAGTCGCTGCTTTCCCCTGTTCCAGAACACCAACACCTTATTCAATAGATATACTGGGAAGATATTCGAAGTTCATGAATACCCCGTGATTTAGCAACCTTGCTAAATAAGTAAAAGCTCTCCCATCCTAACCAATCAGGCAGAGCAAATAGTTGTTACAAACGCGAAACTTGATCAGAAGGCTCAATGAGGAGGCGACCTTCCCCGGTAGATTAAACGCTCCCTCATTAGATCATGAGCGCTGGTAACGGAGACGTGCTTGTTTAAGAGTATCTTCGTCACTAATAATGCAGGAAGAATTCGATATCGTTGTCTTTTTTTTTTTTGGAAAATAATGTACGCAGTAATGCTGTAGGGTGCCTAGCAGGCGCGCTTCCTGAGCACTTCTCCATGAACACAGGAACACCTAGAAAAGACCTGACACTAAATTCAGCGATTTCGTGGCCATGATAATAGACAGTAATGCATTTCCCAAATTTCTCGGCCAGGGAATTAAAAGCAAATAGATGCTACCAAGTACAATGGAATTAGGTGAGCACCGGCTCCTTCGCTGATTTCGCTCCACATCTGGCGGCAACAGGTAGAACGTAGAGAAGCCAGCGTATATCAATTTGGCCAGTTGCGGCTGAACCCGTAGGCTGAATAAATAGCCGTGTGTTCCGGCTTGCGCACACCTCATTTGACTGAAAGTCGCGAGTGTGACATAACCGAGCAGGATGGTAGTTTCTTAAATTCAAAGGCATATCCCATTAGTCTGGTGGGCCCAACACACAGAACCATTCAAATTCAAGAATTGTTTGAACTCGAAATTCCATACCTTCGTCATGGGTAAAATTGCACTTATCGGTGCCGCAGGCCAAATTGGCACTCCTCTCAGCCTCCTTTGCAAGGCGGTGAGTACTTACCCGTCTCAGACGATGAACGCTTGCTAATGTAGTTCGGTTTAGAGCGATCTTTTTGATGAGATATCGCTATATGATATCGTACATGTTCCAGGCATTGCGACTGATCTAATGCACATAGACACTAAGGCGAAGGTCAGCGGCTATCTACCTGACAACGGGGGCCTCAAAAGGCTCTTGCTGGCGCAGACATTGTTGTTGTGACCGCTGGTATTGCCCGTAAGCCTGGTATGACGAGAGATGGTAAGAAACATAATCGACTGTCCTTGAAATATATACCCTTTCGACCATATAACTAACAATAGCCTTATAGATCTTTTTAAGGTATCTTGCCCTGCCACTGCGTACTCATCATGTATTCATAATGTACGTAAATGCGATGGCATACTGATTTCAACCAGACCAATGCTAGCATCATCCGTGACATCTTTTCCGAAATCGCCTCTACTTGCCCTAATGCGATCTCCTGTGTGGTGACGAACCCCGTGAACTCGACCGTGCCCGTTGCAGCCGAGACTCTGGAGAAGGCTGGTGTTTTTGAACCCAGACGCCTCTTTGGCGTTACGACTCTCGACGTTGTGCGTGCCTCCACATTTGCTGCACACGCCCTCGGTGGAAATATTGAGCCCAAACAACTTAGGGTCCCAGTAATTGGCGGTCACAGTGGGGCCACCATTCTTCCCCTTTATAGCCAAGCTCAACCTGTTGTCCATCTCAGCGATGAGCAATTAGCACTTGTCATCAACCGTGAGTTTCCACATCGCAGATCTTATAGCAAAACCCATGCTAATGGTAATATTAGGTGTGCAATTCGGTGGTGATGAGATCGTGAAGAGTAAGCAAGGAGCTGGCAGCGCTACGACCTGCATGGCATACGCTGGCTTCCGCTTTGTTAAAGCTCTTATGTCAGCCCAGAGTGGTCAATCTGTAACAGAAGAGGCATATGTATATCTCCCAGGTATTCCCGGGGGTGACAAACTTGCTGTGGAACTTGGTGTGGACTACTTTGCCGTCAAGGTCCAAATAGGCACAAAAGGTGCCACCAAGGTGCTTCCTATTGGCGATTTGTCTGGGAATGAGAAGAAACTGCTCGAGGCTGCTCTGTGCGAGCTTAAGACGAACATTGCCACAGGTGTTTCTTTTATGCGTGTCTGATATGTGACACGCTGATTCGGTTATCCTTCGATAGACTTAAGTAGGTCTCTAGATGAAAAAGTTCTTATTGAGTGGTTTTATCTAAGTACTGTAAACTGTTTTCGAATTCTACTGTATTTTTGAATGTGCAGACAGTCCCTGAGCAGGAGATCTCTTTAAAGTAAACAACGTACTGGTTTACCTTGATGGACAATTTTATTTCTAAAATGTCCACCCAGAAGAATAGAATGCGACTGTGGCCGTATACTATTGTATAATGCTCTCCTAACTCAGATCCCGCCAGACAACGTGGAAGCCATGGCGCTTCATTGATAGTTGAACAAGTCCCATGCCGGATTAAACAGAGTAGAGAAGTATATGTGTGGTCCGTATTGTGGGAGGGGAGGGAATGTTATTCGATACCAAATCCCAAGGCACCCCGGCCGCCAAGTGATATTATCATAAACTGAATTAAATGCAACAAAACAGTTAGAGGAGCAAATTAGTGTGGATTAGCTTCCCATATACTGCAGCACTCAGGCCTGACAACTCTAGTACACCCTACACGTACGTAGATGCATTTAGTAGGCAAGAGGAGGGATGGCGTAAGTAGACATGACCAACAAGCGAATGGACTCCCGAAAAGCTTTATGGCACGGCACATCTTATCACACCAGTTCGCGATCTTCTAGCCGGTCAGACAAGAATATTCATATCGTTGCACTGAATTCGGGTCATGATCATCTGGTAGATGAGGTGATCCATGGGAAGCAACCGAATCTGGTTTCCACCCATCATTTAGAAGGTAATGTAGTCTTTTGGCTCTCCAGCATTGCCAAGAAATTGATGCATTTTTACCGATTAATTCATCGGAAATACAATTACTGCATAAGACCTAAGCGGGTTTAGCATGCGTAGGTAGGGTCCGAACACATCTTAGGTTTGCCAAGGGCAGATAGTGGATCAAATACTCAGCCCTAGGGATCGGGGCTAGAGATTTGGGCCAGAGATCGGAGGCTCTGCTTGGTTCGGAATCACCGACCTGGTTGACTAGTCCTTGGTACCCGCTGTCTAATTTTGGTTGCGACTAGGACTTGGGATCGATTACTGAAGAATCTACATCGGTGATGATTATGTTTCTACGATTTGTCTATTCCTGCCAATGGAGCAGACTGGAATGTACAACTGAGTATCGAAGTAGCTATATGGTAAGAACAACTACTAATTGACACATGATGCTCGTATATCGTTCAGCGTTCATCCAACTCAATCTACTCGTAAGTTCCGTCATTAAAACATGTGCATCTCACGGCCGGCATGGAACATGGCTGGCAATAGCTTCCGGTTGCGGTCAAGGTCTCGCACTGGTGTGCGCAGAGACACTGGCACGCGCTTCAGAGCACCCTTCTCAATCCGTCCCTCGAGATGGTTAGCCCAGAGCTCGGCACCCAAGCCTCCAAGACCCTGTCCAGTCATCTTGCCCAAGTTTACAACCTTGTCTAGAGAGACATTTTGCACAATCTCCCATGCGGTCTCCAAATCGCCCTGGAAGCCTGGCTTGCCAGGTCCCTGGGAGGGGTTCTCCACCTTCGACAATTCATCCATCTGGTGGCCAGCAGCTTGCCACAGCTTCTGGCGGTTGAGATACATGTCGAGGGTATCGCAGGTGCGCGCCTTCTTCTCCATGGTGAATTGGTGCCAGTACTCTGTCAGGCCCTGCTCAGGTGCAGCATCCTCAAAGCTAAAAGCGTCGGTAGGAATTCTCCGTCCGTACAAATCATTTCCAGCACCCAGTTCCAGTAGGCAGAGGAACCATTTAGCTCCCTCGACACCCGAGAAGCGGGCCAGCACCCATTCTCCAGCGATGCCGTCGAGGTTCTGCTTTTGCACGAAGTTGATCATGCGGCCGACCTTGACCTGCTCAGGGGTCTTTTCCAAGTTGAGTTCACTCAGAATGCCCTGCTCCTTTGGTGGTTCTTCCTCAGTGGTATCCTTGGCAGGCTCTTCGGGCTTAAGGGAAGTCTCAATGACCTCCGACAAATCAAGCTGCTGCGCCAGCACGTCTCGCTCACAAGAGAACGCGACCAGTGTCATTGAGAGACCTGTACTGATGATGCACCATCCGTCGATCTTCTGGCCTCTGACTGCAGTACGGATTCGAGAACGCAGCACATCAGGCTCAACCATCTTGACGATAATCCTTTGGATGTCGAAGATACCGCGGATACCACCACTGCTCACCGTGATTGGGTTTGGACAGACCATTCTTCGGTCCTCTTGCTGCTTGAACTGAGTGTTGCTATCCTTGCTGTTCGCATCCTCAGTCGTGGCAACAACCTGCTTGTTCTGTGGCGTGTCCTGTGGTTTGTCCTTGGCAGATTCGGCTTGGGCCTTCGCAGGTCCACTAAGAGCACTGATAACCTTTTCAATATCCGATTTCAAATCAGCGTATGGGTCTTGTCTTTCCTCCGACACGGTCGTGGGCGTGGCAGGTGTAGCAGGTGCTGCAGGCTCGCTCGGTTGGGCCTTTTCAGCTGGCTGGGAGCCACCCTTCTTCCATCCAAAGGACATCTTAGGAACTTCGAACTTGGGTATTTCCATCTTGGGTGCTTCAATCTTCAGATTCTTGGAGAACGAGTCGACACGTTCCATAGTGTTGTTCAATCTGCCAGCAAGAGACTGATTCTTGATTTCCTCGTCCGCTTCTTCGGGAGTAAAATCGTGGATCTTTTGAACGATCGACTCCAACTCTCCAATACGGTCTTTCAGTATGTCAAAGTTGGTTTCCTTGATCTTAGTGGCCAGATCACCGAGTTGTTGAAATACTGAGCATTGCTCTGGCAGCTTCTTACTAAGAGCAAGCATCTCAGCCAGAAGCGTATTCACATTGCTTGCGGTCTCGCTCTGGCGCACTCGCTGGTCTCGGAAAAGTTCCAAAATTCGCCTACTAGTTTGTGCCTTTGACTTAACATTCGGGTTGTTCACGGGATCGACAAAGGCGTCAATGCTCGCCGGATACAGTGATCGTCCGTGGAGAGGGCTACCACGGTGCTTTCCGGACCAGTTAAAGACCGAAACATCGTTGTATGCGATCACAACCTCATCCAACAGCCGGGCCAGGGCTTTGGGAAGACCCTCTGCTGGAAACGCAGGGAACCTAACGCCAAGAATACCCATCAGAGAGTACGCTTGATCCGTGGCAACAGTGGTGACACGGTCCGATGCTGTGATAAGGGAGGTGCTTGCGGATGAATTTCCGAGACCATCACCAACAACCCAATTTGTCATATTTTCGATCTTGCTGAACTTGGCAATAGCCTTTCGGTCATCGAGAATCTCTTGGTCGGTGAGACTTATCAATGTGGCCAACAAGTAATTGAAAAGGGAGATCTTTTCAGTGAGATGGGGCTCATCTGTTTCAGGGAGTTCAGACTCGGCTTTTGCAGTAAGGTCAGGCTTATATCGGAGGCCGGACAGGGGGGCATCGTTAGCAATGCTCTTCTTTTCCAAGAGATTATCTAATTTTATAGGCAGCTGTCTGCAGGAGTTGAGAACTGCTTTTCCGATTTGAGATTCGGCCAACTTCTCTTGCAGACCTCTTGGTGCCACGAAGCCCAGGGATTGAAGCATTACGGTGAGCTCCTGCTCCTGAGACATTCCAGGCTTGATGAGCTCCGGTGAAAGGAGTTCTTTCAGCGTAGCAAGCTGCTCCGAAGGAGCTGTGTTGAACCTCTTGACATAGGGATGACGCAGATAGCGTTTGACAAAGGGACGAAGGAAGTACAAGGGACCAAGCACCTCGACCGGTCGGACCAAGTTCTGCCAGTGTGAATTGACGTAGTAGGTTACCTTGCTCAGCACGAGCTCTTGCAAGGTCCATCCACGTGTTGCCCACTCCACCTGATATTTCTTCTTTTCGGCTTCATCAGCACCGGCGCCAATCTGATCAAAACTGGTCATGTTTAATGGCACCGGGATATAGGAAGGGTCCTTCCAGTGCTTCCACTCTTCGATCCAGGAAGACTCATCTCGTGGAGTATCAACATGGACCAGGCAGAGGTCGGCATTCTCATACCAGTCTCCCATCAAGGCCAGGGACTCGGTTAACTCGTAGCTATCCCCCTTGTTGATACAGCACGTATCAAGCCACACATAGCGCTTTCCTCCCCTAGGGAAGTGCGCATCAAACAGCTTCTTAGCCTGTGCGATAGACTCTAAAATCTTCCGCGAGGACCGGATGTGTTGCAACGCGACAAGTAGGGCCTCAATTCCATAACACAACTCGCGGTTCTGGTCGAAGAATTTGATCGTGCTATCCTGATCCTCTCTGGATTTCGCATCCGCTTTGTGTTTCGTTTCCGCCGATGTGCGACTGTCGAGTGCTTCTTTCTTCAGCGTTTTGATTGCCTCTTGTACTTCTTGCATTTCCGGATTCTTTGTCGAGGCATCTGGCTTCTCGGAAGGTTTATTATTAGGAAGGTTGGTTATGTCATTCCAAAGACCTTCATAATATTCTGCCTCTCTTTCTGCGCTCGAGTAGCTCGCAGTAGCATCGTGAAGTTTCTTCTGTGAACTTCCAAGGGCCCATTCAGCTCCATTGGCGTCCGTATACCACTGAAGAAGGGTTGCGATATCCTCTGGATGTTTTCCATCGGATCTGTCACGGACATGGGGAAGGGCGGAATTGATCTTGTCTTCCAGATCCTTGATATCTTGTTTGCATTTGTTGACAACCCTGCTCACGTCATTCGAGGGTCCCTCGGACTCTGTGTTGGCAGGTCCATTCTTGGGCTCAAACTTCTTGGCTTCGCTAAAGTATCCGTAGGTAACTTCAGAGCCTTTCCAGCTGTGAGACACGATGCAGTACTGGTCCTGCAAGCCGAGGTTGTATGTAGTGACCATGTTCATGGTATCGACATCAATCATGCGAGCAGGCGTCTTCAGGTCTTCGTCGGTCTTGGCCAGCCAGTCATCTGGCACCCGACGATCATCGTGAGGTGTGATATCCTCATCGTCCACAAACTTGGGCTTGACGGTTGGAACGAGGAAATGGTTCAGGACCCGACGCAGCTTGTGCTTCTGCTCTGGGTTAAGCGCAACATCCCTGAACCGGCCGGAACGATCACCAATAAAGTTGGCAAAGTCATATGCCTCTTTGAGGGCGGAATTGGAGACGACGGAGTCCGCAAGAGCCGATTTGATTGTTGCGAGCGAATTCATTGTCTCATGGGACGTGACAATTTGGATGGTAAATGCAGTGGTTTGGAGTCTCGGTTACCAAGCTGGGGGGTAAAGATATACACAAGCCGACGGACCCGATAATAAACGAGGTGGACTGTACTGCATGAGACAAGAAATTGCTACACATCCCAGCTGAACCTCGTTTTCGGTGACGGAACCTATCACCTTGCAGCCTTAGGAGACCCCACTCGGGAGACCCATGAGGCGGGAGGATGAGGGCTGTCGATTGGAGTAAAAGGGCAAACACCACGACCACGTCAGCGCACAGGGACATGGGATCGGGTTTTCGAGCAGTGGACCCTCACAATCCACCCTATTCTGCAGCTCTATGACACTTTGATCCACTCTGTTTGCCCAGTGCGTCTTCACAGCACCCTCGCTAAATCATTATTTTGAAGCACTTGGTCTTCAACATACTATCATATTAGACCCCTTAAAGGACCTTTGATCCAAGCTTTTGCATACAACAATCGATCTACAAAATGGCATCCTACCACCGTGTTCTCGAGACCTTTGGAAGAACTATTAATGATAACACCTTGGAATGCGACTGGTGTGTACAATTTTCTAAGCCATTTACCACCATAGCCACTTCAGAGCTTTCTCGGCTAACATCGACAGTGATATTCATCCATGGGAACTCGCCATTAATGGGGAGCAATGGGCTGGCAAAATTCGGCTGATTGGCTATGTGGATGTGTTTTTCCTCATCGCCTACTCTGCCAATGCTCGATTTGAGCATGGAATTATCGTTTATAGTATGTTATCTTGGAGTTCCATTATGTTAACAACTAGCTAACGGCTGTTTAGAGGACAAATTGGCCCTGGAGGAGCTTACAGGCATTACCTCCAAACCGAGCCAGGCAAACACTCAGGGTGATAACTTAGCAGATCATCAGGAACCCGAAGAAAGTCAGTTTTCCAAAGATAAAACAGTACAAGTATACGATGCTCATAACTAGCAGATCTTCAAGACATTGAGGAAGCCGGGGATGCTGAGGATCCAAACGCGAAGGCAGACCAGGACGAAAATTCCAAGTCGACCGACGAGCAACCCAAGGACAATCAAAACGAGGAGATCGTGGCTCCCGAGTTCCGGAAAACGAGCACTCTTTCGATCAAGAGCCTGGGTCACCCGGTCGGACTGCGAGCCTCGTATCCCAAGTCATGGATCCGCAGCTACAAGGTGGAGATCACCAAGCCCGCCAGCTGGGGGTTGAGCAGTGAGTGGCACCCCGCGATCACATCACACTTGAAGCACCAAACTGACCAGGACGGCAGAGCGCATCATGCGGGGTTTGAAGCCACACAGTACTTACGATCTGATGAGCGACGTAATTCGCTGCGGCATCATCTCGCAAGGTCAGTTGGCGGGTCATATCATGGGTATCCTCCTCGCCGGAACCCAGCTGGACGACACGGCCAAAAAATACCTCAATGGGTTGACGTCAGGCAACGACGCTGGTCGGCAGGCGTTGTCGAATGAGAAGATCTAGTTTTGGAGGTTGGGAAGTTACCCGTGTCAGTATAGCTCAGCGAAATAGTTCAGCGCCTAGGAGAATGAGATCGTCGCAACAGCCTGTGCGAACCAGACCAGAGATTGTTTTTCCACACGATCAAGGGGCACCATCATCACAGTGGGGCTCACAAGACGCTAGAGATCTGTATCTGTCTCAATCTCGCGGTGATCAACATACTTCGAGTGAGACGGCAAATCAGGTAGAGAACGTACTCAGAAACTCGAATCTCCACCTCAGCAGCTATCAGGGAATTGTATCTGCTCCACGCGTGGTCCACCAATCAATGCTGTTGCAGGGTGTCGTTGGTTATTCTTCTCAACTGTGATGGACTCATGGGGAGGGAGAGTACTTCCTTCGGTCTCCCTTGCACCTTTCCGACATTTCGGGTCTGTTTGGTGGCTGGCTTAGCTGTGGAGCTAAGCCAACTGCAACATCTCCACCCACGCCACCCCTAGGCTGAATGGAAAAAGTGCTAAGATTCGGTTGCGATATTTTTTCATCGTTGGTCGGTGAATCTGTGTCAACAACGAATGATGGGTGGCGAACATATGGGGACGCCATCAGGGTGGGCCGCAGACCATCGAGTCAGCTTGTTTACTCCGCTCCCAATCGCAACTTTGAGTAATGTGTCATGCAGATATTCCCTGTCTGTGCGGGCCGGCTGGCTTGGACTACCGCTATTGGACCCCACTGAGGAGCGGAGCTGAGGGCAACGAACTATGCATCGTCCCGCGCTGAAAAACACTCTCGGGAATATGCGGTCTCTTCCATCTCTAATGTCAATCACTAAATGGACCCAATCACCACCCTGGCGCGGGACAAATCTGCATCCTAGGAGTCCCCGATGGAGATGCCCCATTGTATATCTCCACTTGGTCTCAAAATGTGGTTGATTTTTCTGGCAATATTCAGATGGCTGGCTGCCACCTCGTTGCCTCTTTTGCTTTTGTTGACTCGGACTTGGGCATGTACTGTTGATCAACCTATGGCCATGTGGGTCCTGGCCTGCAGATTTCCTCGGAATCTGTCCGTGGCCTTCGGGGATAGTTTTTAGTTTTGCAATGTTTATTTATCTTTTTTTCTTCTCCTACCTTGCTGTGTTCCTCATTCTTCACGTTCCCGGATACTTCCCTCAAAGAGCACATCATGCCCTGGTTTCCACTGAACGTCAATGATGGCTCGGTGTCATGGAGCTTCGACATCGTCGGTTTGCTGGCCGTCGTCGGAGGATCCGCCATTGGAAAGTATGCGCAGGCTATCACCGCATCGCCCTTTGGCAGCATCCCTCGTCTCCTACCGGCCCCCGAGACGATGCTGGACACCGACCGGCCAGCGCGATTGCCCGCCATCAAGGATGTGACCGTCGTTGGCGTTTACTCCGGCAATCAATTCAGCGAACTCAACTTCTTCGCTGATGTGATTCATAAAATCAACGAACTAAAGCCATATCAGTTTAGATCCTTCAAAATCACCCACAAGAAGGACGACCCCGAGCACGCCAAGAAGAACCAGGTCTTCGATGAAGAGGGCCATGAAAAAGCCATTATCCCACTGCATCGGTTCTGCCCGTTGAACCTGGTGACCTTGGTCTCAATTCTGATGACAATTGCGCTATTCATCTGGGCCGGTGTCCAGCATGAGGCGGTCGCTTTTCTTGGCCTAGGGACCATGTCACTATCTACCAGCATGGCTTGTATGTCCGCGCAGTGGCGACCGAGACTCTCGGTCCGCACTGTCAAGGGTGATGTGCCCCCCGGAGATGTTGTGATCCGCACGCGAGCTGGAGCATTTGTCTCTGTCAAATGCTCCGAGGAGGTCGCACGCGAGCTTTACGCGGGTACCGAAGTCTGCGACTATGTCTTCAAGGGACGGGTGCACCAGTGTCTTCTCGGTTCCAGCACGGTTCTTCTCATGGCTGCCATCATATTCTTCAGTAACTGCAGCTGGAAACTTCAGATCGCCGTCGGACTGGCCTATATCATCCTCAACCTCGCCTACTGGGCCATGGCGCTACTGACGGACCCGGCGGATATGTGGAACATGGAGTCTCGGTATCATGTGGAGGAGCTTCCTGGGGCCGATAGGAAGAACTACACCCTGGTTCTCTGGGATGCTATTCGAACAACCGGGAAGATTGGCTGGGTCAAAAAGACGGGGATGGCACCGTCGACGAAGAACTGGGATGGATGGCTGCAGGAGGCGAAGGATAACAGCAACAATCCGGGCTGGGATTCTGAGGCAGCACGAAACAAATGGATGAGCATGAAGTTCGGATCTACGGAGCAAAAGACTGAGGTCGAGTGAGGGTGAACTGTAGGAATGACGATGGGTTCGTGGGAGCAAAATGAGGTTAAATGCTATGTAATTAATGCTTGATAAAGATACCTGTATCTGCACTTCATTTAACTTGAAGTAGTTTTAACTAATTGGATAATTTTTTGTTTGTGTCGTTTTCGACTCGAATCGCTACAGTCTACCCGCCAAAGTTTGCAATATCTTTGCCCGTTAGTTTAACCCTTGTGTCATCAACCATTTCGTGCCGATTTACGCTTCCCACAAATTCATCCTCATATTCCAGTGTCTTGCCCTGGTGTCTGATTACGACATCCATGGATCCTGCACCACCTAGACCTGGGCATCCCTGGCCTCACATCCTGGTCTTCTGAGGCTTTCGCTAAATGAAATGATCCATTAGGGTGCTTTGTTTGCGCTCATCCAGGTTTCTCGGTAGTAGGAATGAACAATCATTTGTATGTGGACTTGTATGCACGCATACCCAGCCGGTGCCTGAACTTTTGGCGTTCAGGGCGAAGCACTGATTCTCACGTTATGTGGCTGCAGCGATGTAGGTGTAGGGTATCGAACCCCGACCGGGTAGGCTTGGAGGGATCCAAAATCAATCATTTCTACAATATATAGCGTGTTATGTCCCCAGTGCTCTGTTTACCTATACTTTGTACGGGATCCGGGTGTTGGCGGAGCCCGTCGAGGTATCGGCCAAAGGTGTTTCCGTCACTGCCGTCGTTGTCTCGTGGGCCCATAAACGATCGCTGTGTGCTGATTCGAACGTAGTTGCGCTATTCGTAGGGTCGTTAGTGGTTCGGTTGAAGGGAGGGGTTACTGCTGCTGGCCGCTACAACGGCCTATGATCTAGATAGAGCGCCGAAGGTAAGGTTTCGGTTTGTGCTCGTAGGGCTTCACTTCTTCACAGAGCTTCCCATTCTGTTCCTGAAGGACATTCTGGTTGTGTTTGGTCTCCTAGAGCTCGTTTTGAGTGGTTTCGATGACTACGGTTTAATGGCGGATAATGTTTTTTAGGGTCCTAATGAGTTTCCACAACTCCTTTGTGGTGACTCTGACCTAAGTTCTCTAATGATGCAAAGGCATCGCCGCTATGTGTGCGCTTTCGGCTTTCGGAAGGCGATCCGAGCAATCCGATAGTCACCCTGGGCTGGAAATCTTCCACTGAGAAGCTGAAGGTGGTTTCTTGAGTGTTTGTGGGAGGGCGTTCGGGCCCTCCCGTAGGTGGATCCGTCATCGGTCCGGGGTTAGCTCCCGCTCGGCACAAACGACAACTAATATATATTGAAGGTAATATCAACCACAACGTTGGATTAATCAGTTCATCTGGTAGTGTGCTATAGTTACCGTAGGCTTGAAAAGGAGAACAAATTACCCTACAAATAAATTTAGGGCGACATTACATTGACCCTCATATCTAAAAATTGTCCCTAGCAAATGTACGCTAAGCCTACCTAGGCCGGCCGCAACGATTGTATTTCAAATGCATTACTCAGTAACAATGCATGCATTACTTAGCGATACTAGATGACCCGAGTAGTGGCGGTTAAGGATCTAAGGTACTTCTAGTACTTCTATTCACTTCGTTGCCCACTAGTAAAATTAGATCACTCCCGACCCTTGCTCACAACCAACTGACCTAGGCCGTAGGCGAAGCTATTCGCCTAAGATGCCGCCGGCGAGTTTGGGGGTGTTGCCTAAGCTCCCTGGGCCATAGACGAGTCTATTCCCACCCGTTATATGCCTCCACGTCCTCGTCCGCGTCCTCAGCCTCGACCTCACTAGGCCCCCGTCCTGTCTGCCGACTTCCTCTGTCCTTGGTCGGCATCGACGATCTCAAATAGCGACTGATCATCCCGCTGCGTAGATGATACTAGAGGGTCGGGAGTGACTTAATTTTACTAGTGGGCTACGTATTGAATAGAGGTACCTTAGATTCTCAACAGCCGCTACTCGGGGCATCTAGTATTGTTAAGAATTAATGCAGTTTTACGAATAATGCATTGGAAATACAATTACTGCGGCCGGCCAGGTAGGTTTAGTTAACATTTGCTAGGGTCCAATTATTAAAGATGGGTCCTTTTAATGCCACCCTAAATTTATTCGTAGGATAATTTATTTTCCGTTTCAAGCCTATGGCAACTATAGCACTCAATCGTAATTTAGCAAAACTTTATCCCAGCACAGCTCAACACTATAGGGTTTAACTCATGTCTGTTGAGTGGCAGGCCGTTCCATAGACTGTTCCACGAGTCTGGAAAGAATTGCAGCACGGCTTTCAGCTTCCTCAACAGTGAACTTATCTTTGAACACAGCATCCATCTGCTCCAGAGTACGACCGGCGGTCTCAGGGACAAGGAAATATACCCATATCCCAGATAGAGCGCTAAAGCAGCAAAAGAAGACATAAGTACCAAAACCAATGTTCTGGAGCATTGGAGGTGTAATCAACCCCTAAAACCAATTAACAAACTGGGTGAGCCTTTCAGTATACTAACGGTACTCACAATTATGAAGTTGTTGCCCCAATTAGACATGGTGCCAAAAGCGCATCCTTTGGCACGAAGCGAAGAAGGGAAGATTTCCGCAGGCATTGCCCACGGGATAGGACCCCAGGTGGCTCCGAACGACAACATAAAGAAGAGAATCAAAGCCGCACTGGCCCAGCCAGCGGCAGTATGTTCAGTCCATTTTCCGTTGTATTTTCCGACTAGAATGGAAATGATAAAATGCGCCAGGAACATGCACACCGCGCCACCCAAAAGAAGCTTGCGGCGGCCGAAGCGGTCCATGCCCCAAAGAGACCAGACACAGGCGACAACTTGGCAAATATTCATCACACCTGACATGGTCAGTTGCATCTCGTAGTCCAGGCCCATTGTTTCGAACAAGGTCGGCGAGTAATACTAGGCACACCAGACGTTAGAGGGCTTTCAAATAGCTTTCACGCAACCGGGTATAGACTCACAATGAGAGCATTAATACCAACAAACTGTTGGAAGAACATCAGGCCCACAGCTACCTGAGTGCGTTTATAGATGGGCATTTTCCAACAATCAGCATACAACACCAATTGTAGCTTGATGGTATTCCATAACCCAGGTCTAGTCAGTTTGGGGTGTTTTTTTCTGATGCCTCCTTGCAAAATGTGCATTCAGCTCGAATTTCGCACCATTCCTGCAGAACTCGCTCGTCGCTGGTGGGTAGTTCACGAATTTTAGCAAGTACCCTAAGAGCTTCTTCGTCTCGACCACGTTGGCACAGCCACCTAGGAGAATAAGGCAACATGAAGACACCGGCGATCATGAAGAGAGCCGGGATCATCTGGATCAGGAATGGAAGACGCCATGACCAGTGACTTGGAATATGGCGCGTGCCATAAGTGATGTAGAAGGCGATAACGATACCAGTGACAATGCTCAGTTCCTGAAGAACAAGCAGAGTTCCTCGAATCTCAGGAGGAGCAATCTCGGAGATGTAAAGCGGGGCGACCATAGCAAGCCTATTTGGTAATTAGAACGGGGGCAAAAGTCGACGGAAACCAGTTTCCGGTCTTACATTCCCACGCCAACGCCTCCTACAAAACGTGCGACGGTCAACATAGCATAGGAGACAGCTCCAGTCTGTAGAGCAGCACCAAGGAGGAAGATACAGCCAGCAGTAAATATGCTCCATTTGCGGGATATCTTGTCGGCGATCCAGCCCTGATTTAGGGCACCTGTGACTTATTAGCCCACCCTTAATGTAATAATATATTGTTCCACAGTAGTTACCAAGAAAAGCCCCCAACTCAAGAATAGCGGTCATAAGGCCCTTCTTGAATCCAGCTCCTGGGGCACTTGGGGAAACATCAGGAAACTCCTCGAGGAACTGAGGCATCACAAGCGTAATCGAGACCACGCCCTGGTCATAACCGAAGAGAATACCTCCCATGGTAGCAAAGAGTGCACACAGGAACACATATTTGGAAGAGAACAGCCCCCGGAGTCCGCTCTTGGTATAGGTGCGACGTAACTCCCAAACTGGAATACCATTGCGTTCGTCGGCGGACGCCGTGGATCCTCGGGGGAGGATCATTCCTGTTTGGACATGGCTCAAGGACGCAGTCTCTACATGAGCAGGGTAGTCATTGCCAGTATCAGACAGGCACTTCTTCTCCATATTGGGAAAGTGTTGGAAACAGATGTAATGCTATAGGGTAAATGGATAGGAGTAATCCCGTGGGGAAATCTAGTGAAAATCTGGGGAATCCGGGGAAGTATTTAACTTGACCAGTTTGCTTGCGGGATACATGCGGGGACTCCATAAGTCTCCATAGGCGCGTGGAGACGATCTATGATCCTCGGTTTCTTTGCAAGGTTCGGCCATGAATGCCGATGTTTTGCCCAGCTTTGGTCAAGGGCAGGGAATATGAATCCGAGACTTGGGCGTAGTCCTCCCTCTAGTCTATTAAGTCCCGGAAACATCCCGCGTATTTGTCCATAATACGGGTATACGTTCTGCCCGTACGGTATCTCGTCTAAATCGCCCGCAACTTGGCAGCAAGGGTAAGAGCGCCTCCCTGGAATCCTAATGGCGAATAACGGCTACGTTGTGAAAAGGTTTTGCGTTCGAGTTGAACATCACGTATCATTTTATTTTCTAAAAAGAAAAAAAAACCATAATGTACTGGCCTAAAGTGTACTCTGTAGTGGATAGGAAGAGGACCCGAGCTCTTCTTGGTATGCCAGCCTCCCTCGTTTGTGGATCTAGGCCCTGATTCCCATAACCCTTGGAACATTCTTCGCAGCTGCACCGCCCGTTCAATGCCCTCTTTTCTGCCAGCACTTATTGCGCTAGCAGCCTCGCCGGCTCACAATACTAGAGGTCTTGTTCGCCCCCACGAGGCGCATGTTCTCGTCGAAATTAGGCTATCCATCCCGCCGAGTCCGGGTGGAGCCAAGCCTGTATTCGTTGAGATCACGTGACCTAATTTGCCACGTGATGGATGGTCGTGAGAGTAGTCCTCGAGGGGTTGGAGCTTCTCTCCTTCCCCGTCCGTCTCTCAAGCAATAAACTTACGTTATTGCTTGTTTCTTTCTCCTCTGTCAAGAGTATTGTTATTACCCCATCTTCAATCTATTCAAACAATAACCGAGCGACTGTAGGCCGAAACTTTAAATTTTAGAGTTCCGGTCACCTATGTCCGAAAGTCGAAGAGACTCCAGGTACCCTTCTATTTCAGCAATTTCCTTACAGGGCGTTATTTTCGTCAGGCTCATACGTGGATGGCGTGGTGGATAAGGATTGGTAGATGTAAGGACACGTTTTAAGGTGCCATGTAAACCCTCAATCATGCCGGCCCCATGATCCAATCGGTCGCAATATATGATTAAAGCTATGTTCATCCCCGCGGCATCACCGAGGGGGTCACTAGGTTGAAGAAAGAGACGAACTGCGCTGCTAGGTTTTGAGCAGGTATTTAAGGGTAGAATACGGGACTGGAAAGCCGAGAAGGATAATTTGTGAAACAGAGATCGGATTGAAGTAGCGTCCGAAAACAAAGGACTTTTCCATGCGAGGAAGCAAAGTCTGCATGGTGTGGCGCACGGCGGACTGGGCGTGTCTTCCTAGCCCAGAGCCATCCAGTGCAGTTCTCTATCGTAAGCCCAAACATTAGCAAGGTCTTAGAAGTTTAACGAATGACCACACACTAGAAAGTTTTCGACAGTAATTCCCTTGTGCTGAATGTGCGTAAAGCCATCGTTTGAGCGTCTTTTCTGCCTCGCTAAGATGCATTTAACCCGACACGTACAGCCATTTTGTGTCCAGATCACCCGGCTCCGTTGGTCCTCGGTCGGCGGCGACGAGCACAGGGCGCTCTCTTGTTTCAAATGGGAGTTCATATTTCTTAAACTATCCACATTTCCGGGTTTGGCAAGCATTATTTAACTCAATACACATAGACGCGGGGGTAGGACTGAACCAGATCGGCCCCTCTGCGTGGCGCGCCGGGCCACTTCCAGAATGAGGGCCATAAACTCAGGTGAAATCCATTGTTTCACAATATAATAGCTTCGGTCCTAAAATATCAATTGTCACTATCGAGATGCCCCAGGGAGGGGGAGGGGAGCTGTAAAATAAACATACTAGAGAAAGCCTCCACGGAATGGAAAAGGAGTCCAGAGTATCGTCCAACTGAGGACACGAGGGGATATTGACATGATTCTTGTGCAGAGGGCGTGCCTTTACTGGCGAAGGACTCTCTGGATCTGCGCAGGATGGAAGCCAGCCGCGGCGAACTCAACCTCAACAGTCGCTGATAACGATTTGCTTTCGTCCATGGTTGATCAAAATCGTCGTAGAATATGTAGAGGGGAAGGAAATGGCAAATAAGAAATAAGACACCACCTAGTTGGTTAGTACCCGCTACCCATGAGCCCCCTTATGCAGTGTTCTTTTAAAATAGGCTATAGCGCGGCACGGGTGGATAAGGCCGCTTGGCAAGCGTGATCTACATAGGGGGCATTTATAGTTGCCTTTCGAGACGCCACTTAGATTATTATTGAAGTACATACATAAGTTTCATCCTCTATCTCCAACAGACACAGAACGAAAGTGATTTGTAAATGTAAATAGTTCAATGTTAAAGCTTTGCTTCGCAAAAATTACCCTTGAGTAATTCTTTCACGGTTGTGCCCGCTGAATCAACCGCACCAACAATCCATGCATGATGACGACTCAGGTGCTCCCCAGCAAAAGAAATATTACCCTCGGGCCGGGATGATTCCTCCGAGAACCTCGTGAACTGGCCGGGAAGGTACATGCAGCCACCCGTTGACGGATGGGAGCCCCAATAAATATCATGTGCTTCGATGAATTCCTCAAAAACATCTAAGCCTCCATTCAGCTTGCCAAAGAACGTGGCTAGGTCGTGCAGTGCCAATTCAACGCGTTTCTCGAATGGGAGAGTGCTCCATCGTGTGGCGTCTGTCATCCATGAGTATACGAGCAAAACGCCAGACACATTGGATCCCACGTCGTTGGATGGATAGACCACCCATCGTATACGAAGGTCAGTCGTACTCTGGCCCCCAAAACAGGGCCTGGAAGACTTTTCCCAGAAGCGAGTTCGAAAGTGAAGGCCCATCTTATAAAGTGGTTCGTAGTAGGTCGCACGGATTGCCTGCTCCTTGGCGAAACTCCAGCGGGGTCGCTCCAGCAGGATGTTGAGCGAGCACAGAGGTATTGCCATAATCACCTTGTCAAACGACATGGTTCTAGGTGAGAACCCACCGATAGAAAGGCTTACTTTGCCGTTTGGGTCATTGTGAATCCCTTTAACTGGCGCATTCATATGGATGTTTTGCACTCCAACAAGGTTAGCGATAGCATTAATCAGCCGTGACATGCCACCTTCAATTGTAACCCATTCTAATTTTCAAATAACTCAGTACGGGGATTGCAAGCTAATGGAAGCATACTGACCTTTTGTGCCAAAGTCCATATATTGGAGAATGACTTCCGTGAAGCTCAGGTCGTACTGACATGTCTGGCTCGTCATCATCTCCACAAAGTCGATCACTGCGTGTGGCCACTGGTGAATTTGTCGCAAATACTGGCGAAAGGACCATTCGTCGTATTGCAACACCTTCGCAAACCCATAGTCAAAGTCGCTCGTTAAAAGGGAGATCCACTCTCCAACCACGCCCCGTAGAAGATCGTGCGCGCTCTGGTGACAGTATTCTTCTGGCAGGCCGAGTTCTGCAGCTAGATTCATGTCGTTGGTTTGTCTCTTCTTTCCACGAACAAATGCTACATTGTTCTCATGTGCCATGATATAAGGAATCCACCGAATCTTCATTTCACTGGGGTTATGGTCATTCAAATATCTCACAAGGTCGAAAACAGAATTGTGCATCGAAGTACATGGAATCCGCATAGCCCCAGCCTCAAAGTATGGATCCTTATTAAGCCCACAGGGTGGAAAATGAAACGTATAGATGCGGCCACCTAGGCGCTCGGTTGCTTCCAGCAGGGTCACTGAAAGCCCTTTTCTAAGAAGCATCAGAGCCGAGTAAAGCCCGGAGATTCCTCCGCCGACGACACCTATATGCATTGAGAAATTAAGTGTGGGAAGAACTAACACACACACTCGAGTAACAAATAGGTGGGGCGTAGACAAACAATGTCCCATTGAACTTTAGTCAAACTGAAATTCGGTCCGGAAGGGAGCCAGCCCTAGATCAATTGTAAAGGACCACTCATCAACCCCCTGCAACTAAATTAATTAATACACCGCCTTCTTAGTAGCAATTTATATAATGTTACGGGTCTTAAATGCGCTATTTTTTAGGAACTTTAATAGCATTTATCAAATTCGTATAGCACTCCTTTGCCTCAATAACTGCCTGCCCTCTCTCACTAATGTTAAAAGCAGGCTATCAAAGTAATCCTGATCCATTCTAACCCACACTTACTTAGTTAATTATCGAAATATTCACTAATCTCGTAATAGGTTCTTCCAAAGATTCGAGGTGTGGATCGAGCCGATTCCTTATGTTTTTAAGTTTTGCCCACGCATTTTAGGTGCAGCTCAGTTCAGGCAAATAGGTCAATCCATCCTAGAAAAGCTACTTACCAAATGTAACTTATGGTTCAAATATGTGCTACCCAATACCCATTATTTGATATTCCTAACAAACTCTACTTGTTTAAAGTACATCGGACTATATTAGTTATAATACTTTCTCCCAATTTCAATTTTTCATTTGTGCCTTTTCCATTACTTCTAGTCCCAGACACGTTCAGATCTCCATACAGCAGTGTGTGATTTTACATCGAAGCACTTCACTCAAACTGAACCATAATTTGTCTTTACGGTAGCACTTCAATCACGGAGACAGCTCTGTTAGAGGCATGTAGATACAGGTTGAGGCGGTGACTCGTAACTCAAGCAGGGTGGGTGCCCCTTACTGACCTAGGTAACTCGGTGTGCAGATAGTGATAAATTGGCCGCTGATTTGGGCAAACTCGGTGCAAGGGGTTTGCTATGCTGTCAAAGTCTAAGGCATACTTGCATTAAAGTACATCATCTGCAGAGTTACTCCTTCTGGCCAATGTTGATTTCCACTCCCGTACCATTAACTATATCACATTTGATATATCGCACGGAGATGTTCGGTGATATGTAAGTACATGCTAATTACCAGACCGCTTGTCCAAGGTGTTCATCGCCTGCTTTAGTTCTATCGTATTGTGAACACAGGGAATCGGCAAATATAGGGGTTGAACTGAGAATCTATAAATACCCATGATTCTCATGTTTTATAATTCAGATTGCTCACTTTTAAATTTTACAAAATCAGAACACTGAGAATACAAATATGACCTTTCTCCCCAAGGTTCGGGGAGTATTGCTCCCACGAGCCGTTGACGACTTGGCATTGACTAGTGCCAGCGGCATCTTCTGTGTGCATCCAATTTCCTCTGATATTTCCGAAGGTTGGCAGAGTATCACTTTCAAGAGACTTGCTGGTGCTGTTAATGGACTAGCATGGTGGATTGAAAAGAACATTGGACAAAGCAAGAGCTTTGAAGTCTTGGCTTATATTGGTGCCAATGATATCCGCTATGCAATTTTTTTCTGGCCTGCCTAAAGACTGGACACGTGGTGAGTGTGAAAGATAACCCTAAGAGTGATTAAAAGGGCGAACCATCTCATAAACTGGCTAGGCATTCTTCCCATCTCCACGGAATACGAAAGAGGCAACATGGGGCTTGCTTAATGATACGGCTTGCTCCAAGCTCATTTTCAGCCCTGAGCGCAGAAAAGAAGCTACTGATATCGTGGCAGGGAGAGCTGGCATGAAGATGTGGGAAATTCAACCCTTGTGGGAGCTGTTGCATAGCGAAGCCACACGGTTTCCATTTGAGAAGGAGTTTGAGGATGCCGAGCACGACACAGCTATGATTATCCATAGCTCAGGCACAACAGGTAAGCTTATTTAGTCGTCAAAGTTGCGAGACACCCGCTAATGCCCGATAGGCACGCCAAAGCAAGTACCTCTAACCAACGGGTATGTTTCGGTTCTCAACAATATTGCGAACCTACCCACTCCCCCGGGTAGAACCAATATAATGCCTGGTTCAGTCGGAGGTGGAGGTTCAATTCTCTCTATGAGCCCATTCTATCATATGATGGGACTGTACATGTTCACTGAATCGATCTTCCACGCGACGCCATTTATTCAGTTCCCGGACAGACCGATGACTACCGATTTGTTCTGCCAAGTTGTCAAAGCCACTCGGCCAGTTAACGCAATGCTTCCTCCATCGATCATCGAGGAACTCAGCTCATCTGAAGCAGGCCTCAAGTCGTTGCAGCAACTTCGAACTGTTATCTTCAGTGGAGCCCCGCTATCGTCAACTGTCGGGAGTAGACTAGCGAGCAAAATCCAGCTTCGTTCTTTCCTTGGCTCTAGTGAGGCCGGTGTGATCCCGGCCCTTGTACCAACCGAAGATCGAGAATGGGAGTATTTTGAATGGAACCCAGCCTATGGTGCTCAGATGATACCGGTTGCGATAGGGCTATACGAACTCATGATCTGTCGGCCAGGAGATGGCAACCGTGACCTCCATGGAATTTTTCACGTGTTCCCTGATCGTTACAACTACAATACCAACGATGTCTTCAGCCCACACCCCACCAAGCCTGGCCTCTGGAGGTTCCAGGGACGCCTCGATGATGTTCTTGTGCTCAGTAATGGCGAGAAGTTCAATCCAACTTTGATGGAGAAGACTATCGAGGGCCACGAATTTGTTTCGAGGGCGATCGTTGTTGGCCACGGGAGATTCCAAGCCGCGCTGCTTGTCGAACCACGATGGGACCAGCTAGGAGAAACCCTGGAAAGTTCTATTATCGATAAAATATGGCCAGTTGTGGAAAAGGCTAACCGTCTCGCTCCGGGCCATGGGAAGATATTTCGGTCGAAAGTCGGCCTGGCTTCCAAAGCCAAACAATTCAAGACGTCACCCAAGGGCTCAATCTCACGTCGAAAAATTATCGCCGATTATGCCCAAGAGATTGACGAGCTTTACGCGCGTCCAGATATGGAGATCGTTGGAGCATTGCCCAGCAATGCTTCTCTCATGGACTTCTCGGACTACATTCGACAGGTTCTGTCTTCTCTTCTCCATCGAGACGACATTTCGGACACGGTCGATCTCTCGTTACAAGGGCTGGATTCCCTCCAGTCTCTTCGTCTCGTAAAGATTTTGCAAGGCGCACTACGTTCACACAACCCAGCTAGCCATTTCGAAGCGATTACTAGTCAGCGGCTGTATTCGTATCACAATGTTGTCGAGCTTTCGAACTTTATGTATTCATTGGCAACCGGCAGCGACGTAGGCGCCGAAACTGGCCCAGTCCTTGACCAGGCACGGTCAAATAAGTTCTCTGCCTCTGTCAAAAGGTTCACAGCGAGCTTTCCCGAAACCCTATCTCAAAACATGAATGGAACCACGACTAAAGGCCCTTACGAAGGGCAAACAGTGCTTTTGACAGGCTCCACGGGCTGGTTAGGCACATACCTACTGAGCGGGCTTCTAGGAGATCCTGAAATACACCAAATTATCTGCTTGAACAGGTCAGAAGACGCATTGTTAAAACAACGCAAAAGTTTCGAAGAAAAAGGCCTCTACATTACGCCGTCTGCCTGGTCAAAAGTCAGATTTCTTCGGTTCCAGTTAGGCTATGAGCATCTCGGCCTTGCTACGGCATTGTACGACGAGCTAAAGCAGTCGGTTGATACTATATTCCACTGTGCATGGAATGTGAACTTCAACCGGAGTCTAGCAGACTTTGAAGAGGTTGAGATCAAGGGACTTTCTCAGCTTCTTGCTCTTGGTATAGAATGTCGACATCAAACCAATTTCCATTTTATCTCATCAATATCAACCGTTGGAAGATGGGGCGCGAAGTATGATCTAGACGTCGCGGTACCGGAAACTATTGTTGAAGATGCTGCTTTAGTTCCATACCAAGGATACGCAGAGGCGAAACATGTCGCCGAGCGGGTCTGCGCCGCAGCATCGTCACGTTCGGGCCTCCATGTCACCATTTACAGGGTTGGGCAACTTGGAGGTCCCACCACAGAGAAAGGTGTATGGAATAAGGAGGAGTGGCTACCATCACTCATCGCAACGGCGAAAACGATCGGACAGATCCCGCGAACCCTTGGACAGGTGCCAATCAATTGGATCCCAGTGGTATATATACCAACTTACTCCTTGGTGGGGAATGAGCTTACGCATAAATAACAGGATACACTCACGAAAATTGTTCTTGAAATCGCCGATTCGCGCAAGGCGGACCAATCCCAAACAGGTGCAGCATTGTTTAATCTTGTCAACCCTACAGTGATACCCTGGGAATCGCTCGTCCCGACAATTCAAAAGCGATTCCAAGTGGATACAGTCGACGACAACACTTGGCTCGCAAGCCTTGACGCCATTGAAGACCTATCCGAATCAGATATTGAGAATAAGCCAGCATTGAAGATACTAGATGTCTATAGACGTCTGTTTGCTACAAATACATACCCCAAATTTGGCATTCGGACAGACAAGGGTCAGGAAGCTAGCAGTTCCATGCGCCACCTCGGGCCTGTGAACGAACATTTGATGAATCTCTGGTTGGATCAATGGGGACTTTGACCGTGGGCTTGAATCTTGACTGCTGTCCTCGTCTTCGAAAGAGAGGTGATCCCAGCCTTGAAACTCAATAGCAGCGCTGGTACTGCGTAATCTGTCGATGTGATGTTTGAATAAGTTCATTCATTTAATTTAGCTTTTCCTTGCCACAGCTATAAAATTGTTTTGAAAGAATCGCGTTCTTATTTTTCGAGCTGGGAACCGGGAGAAAGAAGAAAAAGGAACTGAACTTCATTCTTTGTGAAGCAAAAGGCTGTTATAGGCCTGGATACAAGGTAAGAAGGGTTTCTATATGCTCCTACGTAGCAGATTTCCTCTGTCACGTCTTGGCTTTTCCTTTCCGCTTTAGTGCTTAGGCCTTGCCGCTTTTTGCTCAATGATTAAAACTGAATATGGCTCTGAGTGCCCTGATCCGCTCACCTGAGCGGTGTATAAGTATATAAGCATACGGACCTGCTCATTGGGTATACTCTGATCGCCACCTGAGCGATCTGGTCCGCTCGGTGAGTTTTCGACTTCAAGTAGCTACGACGATAATAATATATATCTCTCATAGAGTTAAATAACCGCCTAATACGTACTCTAGACTTCGTTTTATATAAGTACGGCTTTGGAGCCCATCTGCTGCTTGTCAGACAGAGGCCAGCCCTCACGGGGGTCCTGGCGAATATCATTGTCGAGACGTTCTGCATGGGCTAATGACGACGCTGTTGTTGTATGCCAATGGTGCAAGAGTTCGAGGGGTAGGAGGGGTAGGCAGGGGCTTTCCCCAAATCTGAAGCGAGGTCATTGGATTTAATCTCTGCTAAGCCCATGTATGGCCTGTTCGGTGGTGCAATATCCCGAAAGGCGCGGGGAAGCTCTTTTCTGACAGAGCCACAGCAGGGGCTGGACAGTCTAAGACTATCGTAAATGCACACTAGACTGAGTTGCAACTTATGCCAGGTTTATTTCAGGACGGTGATTCCTCAGATCGCAATCAGGGCCACATACGTGGCAAAAGCAAAGCCCGATTTGCGGGGCCCCGGAATAAGCGCCAAGGATTTCACCCCAGTGGTTCGGATAAGTCACACACCGACAATCCACGCTTACTGATTTGGGAAAGCCCTAGGTCGACAATGGACTTGTGTCCTCGGTTGTTCAGACGTCTCGGTTGTTCAGACATGTTTTCATTCATTTGTGCTTACATTCGTTCGGACTAAATGATACCGGGTTACTGCTGTCATGTGATATCGGGTGAAATGCACCGAAGCCGTACAGTTTCCAGATCCTCAGGTGTCAGGGCAGGCTCTCAGGGCAGATAATATGAGATCTATGAAGCGATCCGCTGTCTTCCGATCGTACCCTTTACCTCAATTGGTATAGTTCACGAGCAAAGTCGTTGACTGAAGAAACTTTCATCAAGATCCTTTCACGGGGAATCGATAATTTCACGCAGTAGCGAAGTTCCTTAAATTCTCGGCTCCCGCAGGGCTCTCAGTAGTATGAATTTCATTAGTAGACATCAGGATGCCGTTTTCTCCGTTTTTGCTAGCTGCCTTGAGCCTCCTCCCGCCAATTCATGCCTCGCCCTCCCCACCGGTCCCCGAACCCATTCAAGTGGTCGAGCTACCTTTACCCCCTGTCATTTCCAGCAGGGCTGAGGGTGCCTGTACGGCAGCCATCAACCCGCGTCGGACCGGATGTATCCATCAAGTCTTTGACGAGTTTCAAGCGGGCGATTTTACACCGGACGGCAATCATGTCATCGTCAATATCGAATTTGTTGGCGCTCCTGCTGCCCCAGACCCGGCAAGCATCTACTCAGGTGAACAAGTGATACTTATCAAGGCGGATGGCAAGACATTTCCCAACGGAGATACGTGGAAGTGCCTAAGCTGCGGAGTTCCTGCTAGCAATGCACAGTCACTGGATCCCGAGAGAGACTATCCTCATGTCGCCCAAAATGGGAAACAGGCCCTTTGGGGCCACAATATACTCGACTGCGGCGACGCACCTCTTGCCAGCAGCCAATGCACACCGAATAAAACCCATATCTATCCCATCCACTGGCCGACATCAGTCGACGGCTCTGGCAGAGGTGGTATCCCTAGAGAAATGCGTCTCCATCCCGATGACATCCATATGGGTTGGAGCTCATTTACAACAAATGGTGGACAATATACGTATTTCGGTCGACTCCAATTCAATCGGAATCCCACGACAGGGTTGCCCCTTGCACCACGATATGATCTAGTGGACGTGGACATTCTCATTCAGCCAAACGGTCCGGCCCCTATTATGGCCAACGGAACCGAGCTTCATTTGCATGACAATGCTATATCTGTCGGAGAGTTGCGCGGTTTCAGCGGGGCTGGCGACGAGATCCTCTACATTGGGTCACCGCGGGAAGCCAATAACATCGACGTCTTTGCTGTTCACATCATTACCGGGGCTGTCCGTCGCCTGACGAGCCATCCCGAATATATCGATCCGATGGCCTTTTCTCACGACAACAATTGGTTCGTCGGTATGGACACCCGTGGCTCTAACCGTCAGATGTGGATGGCCGGCATGCGGTATATCCCACCCTTGATCGACCTTGTTACGGTAACAGCAGCCTCATCTACTCGTAACAATGGCCCCCGCCGTTTCTTCCAGCCTATATTGATCGACCGTTATGGTGACCGTGGTGATTATTTCGGTCAACGAGTTAACGCAGCCGGGGACGGCAGCAACGGTAGTATAAACGATCCTAACTGGAATGGGCGAGCAGATCCCGCATTCTCTCCTGATAGCACCCATATCGTTTATTGGCAGGCACTGGTCGTCTCTCCTGCTTGTGGGGGTGCGAACCCTCTGCCTTGCCCTGTTTCAACTGCGCCTGGGGGTCGAACATACCGTGTCATGCTAGCCTGTCTCACCAAACGCCGCCCTCGGCAACCTGCTCCCATTTTTAAAATTCCAGGCAGAATTCCCTGGGCGACTCCATTCCCTCCCGGTGCTTCGATTCCTACTGAGTATACTTTGCCGGCAGGTAACTACTCGCTCCACGGGAAGGTCCACGGAGTGGCGCACACGAGCATCACCTCCGACCCGACCTATGGTGGACACCAGACTGTCTCGGTTGAGTATGAAAATTATTCGGACGAAAATGGTTATTCCATTAATGGAACCGAGTCTGTCACCCTCACCAGAACACCGTCGCGGCCTTGGCTGAGCAAGCTTGAATGGTATTCAGACCTGTACGAGATTGGAGTTGTTACAGCAACCAAGAAGACTGGACCTGGTGGATTCAATTTGACCATCGATGCTCAGGCAAACATCTTTGAAGCAGATGGTACATTGACTACTACTATAGACGGCGTTGTATATAAGCAGCCTGCAAATGGCACTTGATGGCCTGGCGATCTACCCTTATGGAGCTATAAATCAATGGAATGACGTTATGTACATAATCATCTATCCTGAAACAGCCTTCAGTTAGCCCCTATAGCAAATTATGCGAACCATATGTTCTCTCTTCTCATATTTGAACCCCGACAATGCTGATTGTCCAACAACCCTCCATGGACGTGTTATTAGCCATTGAATGTCATATTAGCGTGGATAGATAACTGCCGCTTCTCTGACTACCACTTCTCTGATACTACACAACCACTGTCTCCTTGTCCCATGCGACCGGATATGTAAACTCCAGAGATCAAACATGAATATTCAGGCGTGAGAATATACTATGCCTGCATCTCAGAATCTCTCCATCTGATGCGCGATAGTAGAATTGACAAAGAGCTCAGATTCTTCCGATCTGCATGTGTTATACGAGAATCTGTATCCAAAAAATATTGGGCCTTGTTATCTAAAACAGATATCAATTTCTTCATTCTGAAATCAATACCCTACACGCTGACTATTATCATGCCTAGGACGGGTCTTGGCTCTGTCTGATATACGATTCCTGGTACCTGGAAGAGAAAACTCGGTTCCTTCAAAACTTGGCCTGTTCGCGGTCCTTTAGGTATGTTTTTCCAAGTCTAGCCAGGTACTGGACAAGGTAGTTTTGGTCTAGCAAAATCTGAATCTACCCGCCGGGAAATACTCCTTAGGGTTGTCCATGGTATCTCTCCATGGCTGAAACACGCAGAAAAAAGAGCTCCACGCTTTCAAGGTAGCACTTATCATTTGTGTACATCAAACAGCTGCTTACCGATGGATTTGGACAGAATATCGACCGTATCGACCATAGATGGGGTTAAGTTGCACTAATGTTGAGGAGGTTGAGGTACTGAATAACTTACCGTCAAAAGGGCACATGTGAGGCGGATGACACTGACTGTTCGTTCGAAAAAGCAGGCGCAGTTGCATGAAATAAAGTGGAAATTCGAAAGAGTCTCTAACCTCTCCGGCGCCATGTATAGCTCATTGGTCAAAACTATTCGCAAGGACTTGTGGCATCCATCCCACCCACCCTTCAATAATCGTATTGGACATAGATTGAGTATAACACCGCCGGTGTGTCTTGTTGTTGCCTCCACGGCCGGGCGGCAACCTGATTTGACTCATGAGCGATATCATTAGTCTATTTAAAAAGAGGGTAGTTTTACAATTTGACCCGTCGCTCTGTACTATATCACAGATAGGCTGAACAACGATGGCTGTCAGAATATGCTATTGCCCCACAGCTCCAAACCAGCATAAGCCTAAAATGCCACCCATTACAATCGCCATGGCTGGGGGCACATTGAACCATGCACTCCCTGCATATGTTACCGCCGCGACAACCACCCACCATGGTTCCTTAGCCAGACTCTGTCCGTCGCTTCTGTCAGGGGTCAAGTATCCAATCTCCCACAATCGGTATACAGCTGTGAATACTAGTCCAACTGCAGTAGCATTCACTCCTCTTAGAAAGTCGATCACATACTTCTTCTTCCGCAATACACGCCAGAAACTTTGGATTGCAACGGCCAGCGTGATTCCCGGAAAGAAGATTCCTAAACCGCCGAGAAATGCACCGAAGATGGTCGGGAAGCGCGAGCGCTGCAGTGCTAGCGCCCCTAAAAAGACGGCGAAGTTGAAGTTAGGACCGGGAAAAGCTTGGATAATGGCAAGGCCGATCAAGAAGTCTCTACTGGAGACCCACCCGGGATCGACGACATAGGAGCGTAAAAGGGGAATGACAACAGGGCCTCCACCAAAGATAACAGTGCCAGCAAGGTACATATTGGCAAAGAGGTCGAGGACAAGTGGGGGTGTGGCGAGCTGGCCTCTGGCAACAAGAATTCCGATGAAGAAAGCTAATCATATTAGTGTTGACTCTCTGAAAATTTATTAGGTGGAGTGGATGCACACCAAAAAAGAGAACCATGACCAAAACTCCGACCCGAATCCGAATAATGTGATGTTGTGAAGGATCTTCAGCGGACTGTGTTGGCGTTGTAGTATTGATTGAACTCTGTGGTAGTCCTTCGATTCTAGGATCCGGCCTTCTCGGTCGCGTCGTCTCACTCCTTTGCGCGGTATTCTCTTCCAGGGTTATGGCGGTTATGGAGTCCATGCCCGTAGGATCCCCATTTGTCACATCCAGTTCCTGTGAACGAATATGTCTGTTCTTCCAAGCGATCCTCGCCCTTGAAATTTGTTGATATAACCATCCATCCCAGAGGCTCGTGAGGAATCCACCGATAATCATCAGCACGGGAAAATACCAGAGTGCATTGTAACAAAGACCAGCACATGCGCCAAAGATCACAAGAATCCGGGATAATTTATCGCGAATGGCTTTTTCAGCCAACTGTACGGCCGCAAGTGCAACAATACCTACTGTGGAGGCGTTGAGGCCGGAAAGCAGGGAATAGACGGGTTTGGGAAGCGTTTCACTGATATTTTGCACACCAAGTGAGAGGGCATACATGCCAATTGCGCCAGGAAGACTGACAGTGTTAGTTGAAGATCAAAAGATGGCGGGCTTTGTAGCATAAAGGTTTAGATCACCTCCAAATGAAAAACACAAGCATGGCAGGAATAAATCCTGCATGTAATAAGGCTAGGCAGAAAATCATCTTCGTGCTACCGGGACCCGGAAGGCCCTGACAAATAGCAAAGAGTTCCTGATACTGTGAGATTTGTTAGGAGCTCCTATAATATTGAGACACCGCCAGCTTGAGGATATATAAGGAGAATCGTACAGTCTGCTCATCTACCCATTTTTCCTTGCCGCCCTGTCCCTCCACGAACCTGCCATGTAAAATCTGGAAGTGTACTGGTGGCCCTCCGAAGGCTGTAAAACCTAGATCCCATGTACGCAGAAAGACGTCCAACAAACGCGTTGATAGAGGTTTTTCCGGTTCTTCATTTTGCCTCAAACCCCTGTGGCTGTCCCGTTTGTGGTTCAGCCGGGCCAGGGAAGAGAGGCATTGCGAAAGGGGGGAGAGGAGTGTCATACTGCTTTCGGTCGTTCAAACGTTCATTTAACAGCTGCGTGGATCTTGCGGTCAATTACAGATAGCAAGATAGATAAGGGGGATAACATCTCAAACGTGAGTATCGATCTGAATACCAAGCCAAGATGTTTAGTAAGCATCGACATCACAATAAAGTTCAAAATAACCAATCAAGATGCGGCAATGAGGTACGTGTCATACTACCGTCTGAGGGCATTGGGAAAGCCTATTCGGACGGTGAATGTCATTGGGCGGCTGTGATTGGCCTAGATAATGTCGGACTCCCGTTGAGGTTTAGTCTTCAAGGTCGATCGGTATTGGCACTACCAAATTTGGGATTAAAAAGACGAAACTTATAATTTCGAAAATATAATGATTTCAAGGATTGAAACTGAGCAACATACTCCTAAACAGAAGGAAAAACATGGAATGAACAAGGCTAGCAGTGGGAAATGATATATTTTACGTAGGACTTTCGATAATCTAGATCTCAACTTATCGACTTTAATATTATGGCATCTTTCAGTGGTTTTATTGCGACATACTTAGGAGCGAAGCGACAGCTGAAGCATACCATAATAGAGTTTTAGCCAGTGGGCGTTGCTGTCCCACCAGCAGCATCGACAGATAGACAGATGTATAAAGAGCGCAGGCTTTGTAAAATATTTCGCAGTCGTGTTATCAACACATAACTTTTATTTTCTCTGAATTTCTGATGGCTGCACAAGTCCGCATTGTCCGCCACGCGGAATCTGTCCACAACGTCTCTAAAGACTACACTCAACGTGACCCGAGCCTAACACCGCTCGGCCTTCAACAAGCTGCTCAGCTTATTCACGATTTTCCCTATTCCTCCCGGGTCGCGGTAATCATCACCTCTCCGCTACAACGCGCTATTGAAACCGTACTGGCTGCCTTTCCGCACGTACTGGATAAACGCTATTACGATCCTCACTCGGGGCAAGGCATTGAGAACGGCTCGTTGCTCATTATAGACCCAGAACTACAAGAACGGAGTGCCTTCCCGTGTGACACCGGTTCCTCTCGCAAAGTTCTGGAGGCGGCCTTCGGTGTAGATTTCAGTGATTTGGCGGAGGACTGGTATATAAAGGAGGGTCTGTACTCCCCAGATGACGATGCTGTGAAAGAGCGGGCAAAATGCGTGAGGTCTCGTGTTGCTGAAGTAGTGGACAACTTGAAGGATATGGAAAAGAGACAAGTTGTGATTGTGACACACGGTGTTTTCATGAAATACTTGGTCGAAGATCCCGAAATTGACCTGCCAAAAGCTGGGTGGAAAAGTTACACTGTTGGCAAGAATAGCTCTGGCATTATCCTGCTTCCGGTTTAGAGAGAAAGAGATCGACCTGAATAGTATTTAATAATATAGGAAAACCCCCTGGGAAATCCTTCTGAGAATACTGTTGAGATAGCAGTGTTGGATGCGAAGACAATACATACACGCCTACGGAGGTGCATTTCAAAAGTTCTGTGTATCGCATTGTCTATAACCACAACAGATTAGGGCTCGGGCCACTTCCCGCAAAACTAAAGGATCCAGGCAATGAAGGCCTCGAACATAGTGGTATCCGTTAAACCGCGGTAGACACGCGAGAGAACGACCCTATCCTAGGCATACGCAGGCAATATCTGATATCGGTATCGTGGCGGAACTATGATGCTTGCGTAGGGGCCACGCTAAGTGGTGACTAGCTAGTCCGCCTAAACCCAATCCTTTTAGCACATCGAGATTTATTAACGTAAACTAGATGATATAACTGAAAGTCCGATAACTTGTGTAGATAACATTCCCGTAAGTCGTCATTTCGTTCCTTAGTTTGCTGTCGAGTAGTCTTTCTAGACAGATCTTTAGCGATAAGGGCTTTTCTAATGCTAGATGTTGACAAGGTTATGGAACTCATCCTAAAGGGAGACAGACATCTCATCTAGATAGAGACCGAGTTTTTCAGATAGGTGGTTGCACAGCGCCTCGATCATCAGTGGTGTTACGGTACTTCTCCGGCCTATTCGAGTCGACGATGCGTGGACATCTCCAAATTGTCACAAGTTTCTGCGAATATTGATGATCGTAACTTGCTTTATTCAGTTTTTTCGGCCATTTGAGATGCGCTTAGTGACTGGCTCTCTATTATATCACGGATGAGATGCAGCTTTGAGGGAGGTAGTCTTAGAGCCATATTGCTAGGCCCGACGTTGGGTGATGCCGAAGAGCAACCCATGGGCGACAAAGGCATGTTGTTAGTGATGGACAGAAAGGAAGAGGGGCACAGAAGTAGCATGTGTATAGTAGTTTCGCGTAAAATACAGTAGTCTACATAGGTCCCACCGGCGTCATGTAAAATACAAGACCTATTCTAGGAACCGAGAGATCGACCACCTTACCGTATATAGATTAGCGTGTTCCAACTTAGGGTTCGGGAATTCATACAAAAGAGAGTAGTGGTAAAACTGGTTTCGAATATTACTCTACCAGATCGAGTAGAGGATCAAATTAAACAGCCGAGTTGTTATGAAGGACACGGAATAACAACTGACTCCCCTGTTAGTTCTTATTAGCCTATAATATAGAATTAGCAATGCTAGCGCAAGGGCGGGGACGTAGTGTCTCTAGTAAAGATAGGCAGTGGGCAGTGTGCTCGAACTTACTTTCTCCCCTTTCTCCATCTTAACGAAGGTCGCTTTCCCATCATACTCAAAGATAGTGTCCCAGCCTGCCAACGATCAAACATGTAAATACCGTCTCTGTAAGCAAAGCTCATACGTGGCACTCGTCCCACGCTCGCTGCGCTAAGGGTCCATTACGTAGGACTGGAACCCAGTCACGCAGGGACGGCGCCTGTCCGTGCGCTGGGGAAACTATAACAAACTAGTTCTGGCCCACGTGCCCCAATCGCTGTAATACTCAGGTTTCTGATTAGGCAGTAGCACACTCAATGATCTTAAGCAGCAAGTGGAGAAAGAAAACAAGGAGTAAAGTCTGTTTACAGTAGTATAAATGATAAAAATCTGATCCAAAGCAAGCAGTCAAAAAAGAGAGAAGGAAGGCTTGATAAAATAGTCGCTGTAGTCGCTCTTCAGTATGCTTCAGTTGGCAATACCTCTGGTATCGCAGCATTTCCGAAATTTAACAATCAAACGTCGTGTGACAAGATTTAGGTGAAGTGGCTGTTCATTCTGTCCCGGGTATTCTTCGGCTCATACTTGCATCGATGCCAAGCCTTTGGCTTAGCTCAACGCTAGTGAAATCCAAAGTAGTCACATGTAAACGGAATGTCGGCTCGAAAAGCCGCATGGACTTCTGCGTTTTCATTGAATACCAAAACTTTTGTAGTATTTATAGTCAAGACAGACCCCTTGAGTCACTCTGTCTTCAACCTTTTGCCAACTTCTTCATATTGAGTGACAAATCTGAACTATGGAACCATCGCGTTATCACGAATTCATATGGGCACAGGTCAAGCCTGGAAGGTGGGAACGAGGTATTGATGAAATCGAACAGTTCTACACCACGTTGGCAAGAAGGTTCCAAGGTACTGGCAAGACCTTTTTTGCCATGACAGCCCATGTCTCTTTCTCCGTTAGGAGAACTCAATCTACAATCGAAAGCAATGAGCTGCATGTTACGAATGCGTTGCAAAAAGCGTGGTTGCGTCTCCGATATGACCACCCCACAATTGCGTCATGGGTCGAGTACAATCGCGAGGAAAAGAGATGTAAGAAGGTCTATGAGACAGTTCCGGAATCGGAAAATATTCCTGCATCTGCCTGGCTGAAAGAAACTTTCCGAATCGTTTCCACCAGTCAGTCATGCCAAGATTGGTGCAATTCAGATCCTCCTGTGCCCAAGCTACCAACTTTGTTTCTCATAATACAACCTACTTCATCAACCAACAGCAAATTCTCCGCTGACATTGTTTTGCGGTCACAACATGATATCATCGACGGCATTGGGTCGCTTCATTTGCTTAACAACTTGTTCAAATGTGCACGCACTGCTCTCGACGATACAAACACCTTCCATATACCCAACTTTGGCGATGAATGGATGAATCTCAGCCCACCGTTTCGAGTAGCAGCTTCCATTCCACCTAGCTTGACGGTGGAACAAGAAACGCGATTGAAACGGATTCTGGAGAAGAATGCCTTGCTTCGGCAAGGCATTCAAATTGCCACAGTTCCTCTTCAATCCGAGCAACTTGTTCCCGGCCGCCACCAGCGAGTCTCATTAAATCTGGATTCCCGTCAGACTCAAAAATTGCTCATCATTTGCAAGAGCATTGGCGCTAGTGTAACGCATGTATATCATGCTGCAATTGCAGTCGTTCTTCGCGACGCGCAAGAAAAATATTATGAGGAACGCAATGTTCGATATATCAGCTACTCATTGATTAATGAACGTGCGCATTGCAAAGCACCATACAATACGTCACTACATGCGGTTTCTGTGTATCACTCCGCCTCTGGTCCGAGCCTTGCCATCGATTTGACAGTCCCCGCCGCTGCCCTAACCGATCAAACAAAGGACGACAGAGCTTCCGAATTTGTCCAGGTAGTTGAACAGGTCAAAGACTACTATATCGGAATACGGAATGATCCAGAACATATCTCTTTGATTCCGTCATACTGGAACCTTTCCACTCCGCCTTATCCTGACAACTCACATGTTCCGCCTATTCCTCTGCCGAACAAGGCACCTTCAGTCTCAATCTCTAGTTTGGGGGTGATCGACAACATTATATCCCCAACACATGGTCGGTTTGAGCTGGATGAGCCTTGGGTTACGGGAGAGGAGCTCGGTACAGGATTAGGCCTTTTCCTCGGTACTTTCCGTGGCTGCATGAGCTTAAGCGCCGCATACAATGATGCCTGGCACAACGAAACTGAGGTCATGGAATTTTTGAGCAAATGCAATAGCCTTGTGCTTGAGGCTTTGGGGGTGTAGGATGGTTCTGACGAGACTCGGCGCGAAGTAACAGACTGGGAAAGGTGATTACAAAAAAAAAAAAAAAAAAAGAGTTCGTGGCAAACAGGGAGCAAACTTCGTGTATTTCATCTCACCCAGTTTGGCGCGTATTCTGATCGGCACTTTCTTTCCACTTGGTAACTGTAAGGCATATGCGATCTAGTAGAACTCCAATGCGCTTTTGACTTAATGAATGCACAAACATTCGTTAACTAAAAGCTCACATGTTGCTACCAAATTATATTCTGAATCCAGTAGACCAATTGGGCAAATTGGTCAATTCCTTTTTCCTGTGTCACTCAATGGCCGTGACGGCTCGGTCGGGAGTCGTGAACCAGAGCAGACATGTTTGGTGCTTGACAAAGCGCGGTAGATACATAATGAAGGTAGGTGGTATCGTTCTCTGACTGAGTAGAGACGGCGCTTTGCCTAGGAACCGGGAGTTCCTAGTAATACAACTACACACGGGCCACAATTAGTTAGCCCACATACGCTAAGGCTTTTGGTTTCTAAACCAATGATCACTGCGCGTGGGCGTCCAATCAACAGTATCCCACGTTCTGGTGGACTGTCCGAAACTAAAGGAACTACGGAGCGAGTTACGAAGGAAGGTGGGGGCCGCGTTTAGTAAGTTGAGACGCTACTGAGAGACTCGAAGAAAAATAGGAAGAGGTAAACCTGACAATGTTTCCACGGTGGTTTTACGAGTCTGTGGTGATGTTAATACTATTTTACACTATTTATCTGTTTCACCTTTGTCAAACTGCACTTCCTTCATTCCAAAATACATTTTACAATTTTCTCAATTCCTTACTGTAGAATCAATTTGTGAACTACTTTGGCTGAGTACATTTAAAGGAAAAACAGTCACAAGTCGAAAAATTGATTGCGCAAGAAATTTCCGAAAGTTCGGGGATACTGGATGTGATTACACCCCGCCACCCGGCGATTTCTCGCTTGTCATGCCCTTAAACAAGTTACAAGCTATCAGCGTTCATGATAGATCACGGGAACCGATCAATAATAGATAGGAAATTGCCCGAGGAACTTCTCAGTATGTCAGCGCGTGTCACCTGTTATCTGCTGGGTATACGTACCTGCATCGGATCATTGAACCGGAGACCGATATCCAAAGAGCTGATCTTTTTTATGTCGTCATCCTCCAGGTCAAAGGCGGTCGATGTCAGATTTAAGCGCATCCGCTCGATGCTGGTGCTTCTCGGGATGACCAAAATGCCGCGTTGGGTCGCCCACCGGAGAAGCACCTGCGACGGCGCTTGTTGCACTCGTTTGGCAATTGAAACAATAGCCGGATGCTCCAGTAGCGATGAGACTTTTTCCGCTGCGCTCTTTTCGGACTTTGGGTACGACAGGCCTCCAAAGGAAGAAAAGGCAATGACCGCGATGCCATTCTCCTGCGCAAATTGGACCAGCTGATTCTGAGCTAGGTACGGGTGATGCTCAATCTGCAAAGCGGCAGGCGGAATCCGTGCATAGCGTAGAAGATCCATTAACAAGGAGCCCGAGAAATTAGATACTCCAATGCTTTTGACAGAACCGTGATCCACCAGCTGTTCCATTGCCTGCCAGGTCTCCTGTATGCTGGCCGTACCGGGTTCCACACGATTCTCTTCATAGAACCATCCGGGAGGATAACGGATTGCTGGCGGGACATATTTCAAGGCAATAGGGAAATGCATCAAATATAGATCGAAATAGTCCACCTGCCAGTCCGCCAGCTGCTTTGAAACGATTTCTTCCACTCGATGTGCTTCATGATAGGTATTCCAAAGTTTTGAGATAATGAATAGATCCTCTCGTTTGACTAACCCATCTTTGATTGCGCGAGTGATGCCTTCGCCGGCTCCGGCTTCATTCCCATAGTCTGTGTTCATCTGTCAGCGAAGCGCAAGAGTATCAACATGGTAAGGATTGCAATACCGCAAGCACCATCGAAAAGCCTGTACCCAGCTTTAATGGCATTATAGACAGCGTCGGCGCAGGAGTCATTTTCGATTCTCCAAAGGCCAAACCCAACCAAAGGCACCGTCTGGCCACCACGGCCAATCGAAATTGTTTTCATTTTGATTGTACAAATAAAGTACGGCTTCCACAAACTATTGGAATCAATTTAAATTCGTGCAGGAGAAAAAATCGTAATAAACCCTGTACAACGCACAGGCGCTTCTATTATACGCGAGGCGCTGGAAACAAAGTTAGCCAGTGAAGATCACGCCTTTCCGAATCTGGTCCCCGCGCATGACTCACCGGCATAAAGTTGGTACAAGCATAATACAAAGCTAGATCGCTCCTCGAACCTTTGGGTTTGAGCTCCGCACTACCACTAATTTCGCTTGGACCTTCTGCGAATTATCATGATGTCATTTTGCGGCGAAGAGAAGTCTGTAATGCCGATGCTCATCCTATCTCCGTCTCTACCTTATATTCTTCTTAGCCAATACATGCATGGTAGATCTAATGGTTAGGCAATTTCTTGCATGCATTCACGTTTACTGCCGAGTGTCAATTAAGTTATCAAGAGCTAGATGCCCTTCGATGGTGTGATTCGTACACTAATTGAAAATGGACAACCTCATTGCAACTCCAGCTCATAGAAAGATATTTGGGATTGCTACTGGTTGAGAAATCACTAGTATCTCCGGATGCAGATGAACTCAAAGGCTTATAATGAGTTCTACTCTAATGGAGAGAAAGGTCCACCAGGGCTCCTGGAGCTCTCGAAGTTCTATCTAAGAGAAGGGGTAAATCGGGCTATACGGTAGTGTTTCGCCGTCTTTTAGCTCCATAGTATAATCTATTAATTCTTTAAGGTAGTAGGATCTTAGTATTTTAGGAGCGAATACGTCGCGGTATACTAGTAATTTGCTAGGAAGCCTCTTACATAAAGTAGGCTAAGAGTAAGCGTGCTCACTAATAATAGGCGTACGGCTAGCTTTTTCACGATTCTTGAGGGTATCTTCTTCGTGGTAGCGCTTAAGCGTATTATAGATTGTCTTACGAGAACAGCCGAAATCATTAGCTAATTTCACTTACGAAATACCACTCTTATAAGCAAATACAAAGGCTAACCTTTATATAGCAGTAAGCTACGCCGTTTTTCTAATTTTTGCATCAATTTTCATTGCAATTGGAGCAATAGGGGAGGTGTAGGAAGAAAAATAAAAAGGTGAGTTGGTTGCCGGGTCAAATTGTAGTGGGGCATTGGGTAAGAACATATGACCAGTATCTGTAGATACAGTGGTGTATCATAAATATTTGACCTCCAGTACTTCGGGCTCTAACCGCCATTTAGACCGCCTACTATATCAGTCTATTAATCCTTAACACGCTAGTACACACGCTACATGTCAACGCATTTTAAAGCATATTTCGTGATTTTCTTATTCAATTATGCCTTCCATACGCCGGAAAAAAGCCTGACTACCTTACTAGAGCTAAGACATATGGTTTACATACTACCAGTAATTTTCTGCAGGCAGTAATAAAAGTGGGTCCTAGCCCGAAGTATCGGAGGTCAAATACTTATGATACACCACTGTACTTAAGGTTTGAATTATTCCGAGTGCTCTGGTTGTACTTACGAATTTTACCAGGGCGCGTGTACCGGTGTCACGCGGTAGGCCTGGTCCAATAGCACGGGTACCAAAGCCTCTCATCTTGCATACAGTTCTCAGGGGGAAGAAGAAAGGTTTCACTCTTTCCGAAGGATAAAAGGGAGATGAATTATGGTTTGAACAAGACAACTTGGCCAAATTTTAAAGGGTAACACTCACGAGAGGTAACAGGATGCTAATTCCTCAAAAGGAAATCGGCAGGGCGCAATTTATCAACACTAAGTGTGTCTGGTAGTGAGCAGCGATTTCGGAAATAAAGTCTCCCATACTAGCACTTCGGACGAATTAACGCCTTCCCCGCTTCTTTATTGGGTAAGTCTCAAGCTGAATAAAACTTACAGCACCGTCTTACTTTTAATGTCACAGTATATTCAATGAGAAGAATTGCTTATATTGATACGATACTCAGAGGATGTAATTCTCAAACGTTTGGTGGTTAGTTCCTTGCGTAAATGCTGAGCATATCAGTCCCCTTCCCGCTCTCGTACGACCTCTCGGGCTTGATATACCACTTCCTCTCGAAAGAACCCGTTCCCATCTGTTGGGCTAGTTTAGGATGATGCAGGATTCCATCACCGCCCTGAGCTAGTAGGTTCCAGTGTACGCCTTGCAAGGGCCATGGTGGGCCTGGATGACTGAGTTCTTTGAAGAGAGGAAACTCCAGACAAACCAGAAGGCCGCCCGCAAACAACAGGTCAGCCATACGCGAGGCCCACTGAGAACGCATTTCCGGATGAATAGCACAGAGAAACTGGCTTGGGTTAGCTTGTGTGCTGAGGTCTATAGGTCCCCGTGGATAACTTACAGTGTAGTCATAAATTACATCGAACTTCTCCCCTTCCGTGCAGTCAGATTGGAAGAAATCACCCTGAATGAAAGATACCGAGCCTCTTTCAAACTTATTCGCCCAAGCAGACCCGAAATTGTACGTTTGTGGCGTTGGGAGTTCTTTGTGTGCATACTCCTCTGCAGTAGAAACTCCCTTCGATGAGATCTCCAGCCCAACAGCATCGAATCCATGCAGAGCAAGCATAACCACATCGTAGCCTTTTCCGCATCCCTACACAGAGTAAGTTTCCTGCATTTGTGAGAAATAGAAAAGAAGACCTCTTACAGGTACGAGAATCTTCCTCCTCTGGCCGTTAGCTGTAATTGGGCTCAAGATGTCCTCTCTTTGCTCCAGAAGGTCAATCAAAGCAGGTGAGGGCATCCCTCTGTCCCACATGTCACTGTTACCAGTCTCCCATAGGTTGTTCCATGCATCATTGTGGTCCTCGATTCTACTGCGAGCTGTCAGACCTCTATCACTCTAGATATTGAACATGAAAAATTCCATACCTTTGTTCGAAGTGTTTGATCAGGCGAGACCGACCCTCGGGGGTCTGAAGCCATTCTGGCGGAGTCGTCATTTCAAGTGTCTGTTACGTTTACTGTTTAATGAGAAAACATAAATGGAACTCCTTAAGAATTGGGTGTCTGAGTCGTTTTAAGGCGCTCCCTTGATGTGGGGCAAACCACTCCATTTTTTTCTCAGTCACGCGGAGTTTCCATTTGATACGGTATGCCATATTTGTTTCCTTTCTAAATGGTGGACGAGCCTCTTTTTGCCAATGCATACACTAAGACGGTCTGCTTAGCGATCCAGATATATGTTTTCTTCCCACGTTTCTTAGTGCATGACGTCAGTGATAGTGGTCCCACGCGAAAGCCTTGGCGCCGATCGAGCCCCAAGTATAATTTTTTTAAAAAAACCGTAACTACATATATATCACTGTCCTCTTTAAAAAAAGATCACCCTAAGCTGATGTAGAAGGGATCCACTACCTACTAGTCCGATTTACTACCATGTTCCGATTTAGTGCCATTTCCAAATTTGGCCCCTACTCAGCTAATGGCTTCTGTGACTGTCGATTCAATATATAGGATGGCATATTTACTAAACGCCCTGCTTACGTGCTGTAGGAGTGAGGAAGTCTCGCCTATGCCTAGGATTTATCTGATCACCAGGGTTTTTCTAGATTAGTCTAGTTATTTTAGGCTTGCAGGTCAAGAATGTAAATTCTTGATTCGCGGTGTTGACATTCCTTAAAGTGTGCAGCCTACGAAATATTTCAAACGGTCGGCTAACACTTTGCAGAAATAAACAATTTGAAATATTTTCTGTTGAAACAGCTTTTTACTAGGTCTCTAGATTGTGCTTATCATACACGTACCGTCTTAGGCCTATTTTATATTCAAAATCCTTATTGCAGTGGTTGCAGTGATGATCGTTAAGGCCAAGTGTCTCTAAAATGACGTAGAAGGTGCTTATAGCGAGAGTAATGTTTCATTCTATGACATTAGAAGCAGCCTAACGGTTTGATAGGTTTTGGTGTAGGGATCCTCAGCTCTGGCAGTTCTTCCTATGGTGGTAGAGAAGGCGGCTAGACAAATAGGGAGACTAGAGCTTAAACACTATTCGCTATTGTGTCGTTTCTTATAGAAATCTGCTATTTAGTATACCGTCGGCCCCGGCGGGGCCCACCCTCGAGCACATCGCAATATATGCGGACTGCCTCTACGGCCTCGTTTCGACGCGTCCACTCCGCTTCTAACGATAGCGTTGTCGGCTAGGTCGTTAATTTTTCTAATAAATTGATAAAATTGGAGCACTGTGATTGGTCAAGTCAGAATAAATTTAGCGAGAAACTGAGACGTTTAAGAGAATTCAGTCCTATGTGGGAACGTTGAGACCTAAAGTCACGTGACCTATATCGAACTGAGAATTAGACAGCCAGAGAGCTCGCTTACCGAGTCTCTCTCTCCCCGCATCCTTTTCTCCATCAATAACGTCGACATTGCTTGCTTTTCTGTTGTCAAGAGAGTGGCCACGGCGCCTATCGACGCTGCGGTAAAACCCACGTTGATCGAAAATGACCACAAAGTCGCGAGATAGAGCAGAAGAAAGAGTTCTAAAAAGTCTGCTGTTCCATTCCTTGTACTGACTGAAAGGAGAGCAGCATTCCCAGGCTTGCCACAGGTCTCATGATAGAGTGTTGCGCCGTTTCACTTGCATCTGTCCTGATCGAGGCTCCATACATGTTCCACTCGCTTACACAATACGTTATGACGGGGAAACGAACTGGGAGAAATATGTCGTTGACGCTGTGTCGGACATTTACATTGATTGGAGGGTGAGTATGAACCTTGGAGGTACAGTTGATTATCAATACTGATTGAATCAGGCACAATGGGTTGCGAACCTGAGAGAGAAGAAGCCGGAGTACAAAGATAAACATGTGCCGGGTTATTACAACCTTGTTGTAGAGTACTATTTGGATTATAAAGGGCCATACCTGCTGGGTGATAGGGTCGCTTACACTGACTTTGCGATCTATCGATCTATTGATAACGATCGGAGAACGGGGACGCTTCCGGTATGATAACGTTAGGTCTCTATCAGGCCGCCTGCTAATTGTGTTGTGTTTAGTCGGTCTTGCCGGATGCTTTGGTCAATTTCAAGGTCTTTGAGAAAAGGCCTCGGATCGCGGAATATATCAAGCAGAATGAATAGGATGGATACTGGGCATATCCAGTTCGAGGACACTCAAGGCAGATCAATAAGATCGTAAAGCCTGATACAGTACATGTACTGTTGATCTGTGTGCTGTATATCAACATGTGAAGCCTTCCTTGGGCTTTTAGAGCGCCTTTCTGGAGCAGAGGCGTGTTTCGAGAACTGAGGCCAAGTTTGATAAACGACAAGCAGGGACTTTGGTGGTTGAATAGTTGTAGACAGACGCACAGGACGACCACGGTCATTATAAGCCGGATAGTGATGTTGTCTCCATGGTCAATTTTCGCGACGCACGAAGCACGAGCCTTTTGCGCTGGTAGGCGCCCCTTTTGTATTTTTCGTGGACTCTTAGGTCGTTTGGTCGATGTACTTCACAATGTCAGATACCCATCAATAGCCTCCTTTATGGAAGAAAAAGTAGAGTACCTCATTCTGCTGACTTATCGTCATGGCAAGATTGGCACTGTATGTGGGAACTCCGAAGGGTCCGGGGCCCAAGTGCCGTGACGCTATTCCTATTCTGGTATGTGGACATGTGGGCAAGTGGGCTGGTGTCAAACATCATGTCGCTGGTGGACATGGTAGAGACCTTGGCTTCTGGGGTTCGGAATCATTATGTGTTGGCTTTGCTGCTGTTTCTCGGCTATTATCAGCTATATGTAGCTCAGCGTGGTGTTTCCGTCTTTTAAGAGAGGGTTTGTGGGTAGCTTGTTAGAAACCCTGGATCCATAGTACTGTGAATTGGTGTCTCTGCTGTATGTTCATCTCCGCAAATTCAATATTGGCAGTAGAACTATCCATTGGCTTGGAATGTGAGGTCTGCAGACAGAATCAAGTTCAGGGGCACAGTGGCTTGCTCAGAGTAGACACCGGAGGTCCTGGGGGTCCGTGCGCATGTCCTGAATCCCCAGTCAAGCATTCTACATCAGCTTGGCTGCCTCAAGGAGGATAGTGATGTCTTAGAGGCATAGGAGAACTGGTAAGAAGGAATAAGAAGCTATAAGAACCGGAGTCAAAGCGACACCTGAGGCAGAAGCCAAACTGTTGGGAAAATAGCTTTCACATGTCAGAGTGGGGGCTGACATGTGAAAGACCCTCTCCTGTTGAGCTGCATTTCTATATCATAAAGATCATGGAGATGAAGCGGAGAGAGGTTTGAAGACGATAGGATTAGAGAATATAGATATCTCATATGCATAAAGCCACAGAATCCAACTGGTCCTGTGCGCCGGAGGAAACCGCGCGGGGAAGCGATTGGACCCGATACGAATTACCCACGTTCAAGTTTGCCAGGTTAGGGTCTAAGTTAGTTCCAAGTCATCTCTCAACAAAATGTGCCCTATTTCTTGATCTCTGGAGCTTCTCAGGTTCTTTTGTTCTACTACACCTCTCCCCTGCATAAGTGTCGTGAATCCATGACCATCTTACACCATTCTCTGTTTAAACTTCTTTCTAGCGTCTGAGTCCTTCTTTCCTTCAACATGGCTGTTCTCGATATTACCAAAGATTTACCTACCCTCTTTAAGAAACAGGTGCAGGCCACCCCGGACGCCATTGCGCTAGAGGATGAAACAACCTACACATACCAACAGCTGGACCACGAGGTCGAAGCTCTCGCCAGCCGATTGCGGACCTATGGGGTGAGCCGTGACACCCTCGTGGGTGTACTTCTGCCACGCAGCGCACATTATGTGATCGCGTGTCTGGCGGCCCTTCGCGCCGGAGGAGCATTTCTGGTGCTCGAGCTGGCTTACCCCGCGGACCTCTTGGCGGATGTCATTGAGGACGCTAGTCCTGCCGTCATCATCACCCATCGATCTGAGGCCGAGAAAATCAAGGCTCCTCTACCAGTGATCGCCCTGGATGATCCAGTGGCTGATGCCAATGGGTCCGCCAAGGAACCTTCTCCATTGCCGGCTGATGATGATTTGGACCGTTTAGCCTTTGTGTCTTACTCGTCAGGAACCACCGGCAAACCCAAAGGAATTGCCAATCCTCACCGCGCTCCGGTTCTGTCTTATGATCTCAGATTTGCTGTACAGGATGTACAGCCTGGGGATCGGGTGGCTTGCAATGTCTTCTTTATCTGGGAAATGTTGCGTCCATTGTTGCGGGGAGCGACAGTGGTGATTGTGCCAGACGAAACCAGCTATGATCCGGCCGCCCTGGTCGACTTGCTTGCGGCCAAAAAGGTCACCGAGACCCTGATGACACCCACGCTGTTAGCCACGGTTCTCTCCCGCTACCCGCGATTCGGCACACGTGTTCCCGATCTGAGAATTATTTGGCTCAACGGTGAAGTGGTGACCACAGATTTGGCTCGCAAGGCCATCAAGATTCTTCCCAACACTCGCTTGCTCAATTGCTACAGTGCATGTGAAACACATGAGATCGCCTGCGGAGACATCCGCGAAATCATTGATGAGGAAGCTCTCTACTGCCCAGTTGGCCCACCGCTCGATCCTTCACATACGTATGTTTTGGACGAAGCTGGCAAACAAGTCGAGACAGGCGCATCAGGAGAGCTATTTATTGGCGGTCCCTTGTTGGCCCGGGAATACATTAACCTCCCCGAGGCCACTGCCAAGGCTTTCACACCTGACCCCTTCGACTCTACACCCGGCGCTCGGGTTTACAGGACTGGCGATCTGGCGCGCAAGCTGCCTTCCGGACTCCTCGAGATTACTGGCCGAGTTGGCGCAATGATCAAGCTCCGGGGCTACTCGGTGGTGCCGGCAAAGGTGGAGAGCGACATCTGCCAATATTTGGCTGTTAGCCAATGTGTCGTGATCGCTTATGGTGAGGGCCTTGACCGACAACTGGTTGCATATATTGTCGCCGACAAGGAGGCGTCAGCTGATCGCCCAGCTGTCACCATCAACGAATCTGGCCACAGCCCCGCGGCGCGCCGTGCTCTCGAGAAGAACCTCGCACACTACATGATTCCCGCCCTATGGGTTGCACTGGAGGAACTTCCTACTAGTGAGGTCTCTGGAAAGGTTGACCTGAAGAGCCTCCCGACCCCCCGCAGTGGCAGCCCTAACGGCAGCGAACAGAGCGCCGGAAAGGACCCCATCGGTATCAACGATATCGCTGCGATTTGGGAAACTGTTCTGAAAATCTCGAAGAATTTGCTCAAGCCGGAAGATAGCTTCTTCGATCTTGGCGGACACTCTTTGTCTCTGGCCGATCTATCATCGAAGCTTTCGCGGCGTTTCGGTTTCCGTATTCCGATCCCCCGTCTTGCTGAAAATACCACTCTTTCTGGTCACCTGGACACAGTGCGTGCAGTTAGAGACGGTCATACTGAGGAGGTGCAAGCCAATTTGCCCGCAGTTCTGCTTTCTGACTCTACTCTGGATGAAGACATCAAGCCTTCCAACACCGCCATCACTTCGATCACTGAGGCAAACACAGTGCTTTTGACTGGTGTGACTGGTTTCCTGGGCGCTTTCCTGCTGAATGACCTGATCGAGAACACCTCGGCTCGGATCATCTGTCTTGTTCGCTTCAGTGACCCAGAGCAAGATGATCAGGCTGGAGGTGTGGCTCGGATTCGTAGGAACTTGTTAGACATGGGACTTTGGCGCGACTCGCTTCTGGAGCGTGTCGAGGTCCTTCCTGGTAACCTTTCTCGTCCTCGCTTGGGTCTGTCTCCCGATGTGTTTGATGACATCGCGTCTCGCGTCCAAGTTATCGTTCACGCTGCCGCGACTGTCAACCTTGTTTACCCCTATGCCGCACTTCGCGGTGCGAACGTCGGTGGAACCAGGGAGATTCTTCGCCTGGCCGCTAAGGGAGGTGCGACTGTTCAGTATGTTTCAACTAACGGCGTCTTGCCATCGTCAGGAGAGAACGGCTGGCCCGAGACTACCATGCTGTCTGCGGAAGAGGTCCCTAAGAAGCTGCTTGATGGCTATGGTCAGACCAAGTGGGTTGCTGAGCAGCTCGTGCTCAAGGCTGGTGAACGCGGATTGCCAGTCAAGATTCACCGGTGTGGTACCATCAGTGGCCACAGTGTCACCGGCTCTGCTAACGCCTGGGATTTGCTGACTGCTTTGATTGTTGAATCTATCCAGCTTGGATATTTCCCAGACGTGGAAGGCTGGCGCGCAGAGATGACTCCAGTGAACTTTGTCAGCAAATCTATTGTTCACTTGGCCACCCAAACCCAGACCGACCAGACTGTGCTCCACTTGGGCGATCCCAAGCCGGTCGACACCCGATCTGTCTTTGAGGATCTCAAGGAGCTAGGTTATGAGACTCAACCCCTCCAGTGGGATGAGTGGGTGGCTCTTTGGTTCGAGAAGAGAGGTTCAACGAAGGGTGGAGATGGTTCTTTCACTGTCGATATTCTTCGCAGTGGTATGCCGACTGTCGAGTTCCTTCGGGACATCGTGGTCCTCGACAACGCCCTGACTAGACCTCTCCGTGCCGAGGTCGAGCGACCCAAGGTGGACAGCCTATTGCTGGAAACCTACACCCGACACTGGTTTGCCCGAGGATGGCTGCCCCGTCCTCCCTCTCGTCAACGTGCTCTAAGCCGCCCTGTGGAGCCTACCGTGAAGGGTCCTCTCAGCGGACAAGTGGCCGTGGTCACAGGTGCATCCTCAGGCATTGGCGCGGCGGTAGCAGCCGCCCTAGCCAAACAAGGCTGTGCCGTCGCACTTGGCGCACGACGCCTCGATGCTCTCGAAAGCACCAAGCGCAAAGTCGAAGCCCACGGCGTCAAGTGCATCCTCCGCTCAACCGACGTCACAAGCAAGACCCAAGTCGAAACCCTCGTCCAAGCAGCAAGCGAAGAGCTCGGCCCGGTCGACATCCTCGTCGCCTGCGCCGGAGTGATGTACTTCACAATGATGGCCAACACCCAAATGGACGAATGGGAACGCACAGTCGACGTCAACTGCAAGGGTCTCCTCCACGCCCTCTCCTCCACAGTCCCAGGCATGCTCTCCCGCGGCCGCGGCCACGTCGTCGCCATCTCTTCAGACGCCGGCCGCAAAGTCTTCCCAGGCCTGGGCGTCTACTCCGCCAGCAAGTTCTTCGTCGAAGCAACCCTCCAAGCCCTCCGTCTCGAGACCGCAGGCGCCGGCTTGCGCGTGACAAGCATCCAGCCCGGTAATACATCCACAGGCCTGCTAGGCATGTCAACGGATACCGAAGCCGTCAAGAAATTCGGCGAGCCATCCGGAGCGAAGATCCTCGATCCTTCGGATGTTGCTAATTCCATCGTTTACGCCCTCACTCAGCCGGAATATGTCTCTGTCAATGAGATCCTGGTCGAGCCCCGTGATGAACCTATTTAAATGATGTCCCTCTCTGTTATGTTCCAGATCGGATGCGATGATCTGTGGAGTTTTATATGTGTTATTACTTATCTCTCAGTTTGCTAGCTGTGGTTTTTAAGGCTAGGGTTTTGAGATTCGATTACAAAATCCGATGCCGTATAGTGGTAGATTATAGACTTAGATTTGTATATATATAGATTACCGGATTCGTTTCCAATGCGCTCTTCTTCCCATGCAACATCGATCAATCTATTGGCCCATACGCTGTCTACTTACAAGGTATTTTTTGTTGCAATTCCTGCATATAGACTCCATATAGACCATAAGAACTCTCCCTTCTCACTCAAACAGTCGGTGTAGCCATCCACCTCGATATACTTCAACGCAACGGGGAAGTGAATCAGGAACAAATCAATCTACCCCAGCCCTCAAGCTTCATTTTGGCTCTTGGCCATTTCCAGTGAATGTGTGCGCCGGCGGCAATTGTTCCAGAGCTTTGTTGCGATGAAGATCTCTGAGCGAGTTACTAGGCCCTCGGTGATGGCGCGTTGGATATCTTGTCCGGCTTATTTTTCGTTTTGGTAGTCGTAGGCGCCGTCGAACAATCTGCATCCCACTTTGATGGCCTGTTGTTTGTTAGTGCTGCGTTTATGTAGACTCCTGTATTGAGAGTTGCATGGTTAAGTGTAAATATACTTACGTTCCGATTAGAGAAAATTACATGCTGGATAAGCTGGAGTTGACTCTTTGGACGGATCTTCAATTCATAATATCATAACATTCTATATAGTACACTCTAGACCTCTTTCACTTCAATCCCCTTCTCAGACCCGCTAAGACTAGTTTCAATAATACTGACAATATCGTCGGTGGGATGCATGGACAGCGGATGTAACCCCTTATGTCGAATCTGTGAGCGCGGCGCCGTAGCCACAACAGTAGACTCGTCACCAGTACCCTGATCCGACAACTCAACCACTGACTTCCCAGAGAAAACATCCTCGACCTCCTCGAGAGAACGACCCGCGGTCTCTGGATAAAAGGCCCAGACAACAACCATAGCCGCCCAGTTAAACCCAACGAAGCAATAGAAATACCTATATCCAATATCCGTCAATGCAATAGGCGAGCACTGCGCAAAGATAAGGTTAAGACTCCAATTCGTCGCCGTAGCCAGAGACGAACCACGCGCCCGAATAGGCGTCGGGAAGATTTCGGATTGGTAAATCCAAGAAATCATACCCAGCGCAGTAAAAAACAATGAGAACGCAAAGAACATGGCGATGGCAGCGCGCAGCGCATCCGGATTCGCCTTTGGGTCGCTAAAGTCAATATACCGCACGAGCGTGGCTTCGACACACATGACCGCGCCCATACCAAACAAAGAGGGAATAAGGAGTTTGCGACGTCCTACTTTGTCGATGAAGGTCATGAACACCGTGTTCCAGAACAGCGCTAGCGCGCCCCAGACTCCGATGATCATTAGGGACGTAGATGTTGATAGGCCGAGTGATTTGTACAGGCGCGGTCCGTAATTTTGGATTACGTTTGTGCCGGAGCATTGCGTGAATGCTTGTAGGCCGCAGGCGAGGAGGATGCGGCGGCGCCAGTGGGGGAGGTGAGGAGCTGGCGCCAGGATCGGACGGCTTTTGGTGCTCTTGGAGGAGGCTGTCGTGGATTTGGGAGAGTTCATGTTCGAGGAGTTGATTGTTTGTTGCGCTGCGGTTTAGGTGGAGTTTGGCGAGGACTGAGCGGCCTTCGCCTTCTCGGCCTTTTTCAATGAGCCATCGTGGGGATTCGGGGAGGAACCAGATGCCGCAGGTTAGGATGAAGGCTGGGACTACTTGGAAGGCGAGCGGGAAGCGCCAAGAGAAGACTCCGCCGCGGAGGGAGCATCCGTATCCGACCCATTGCTGGTGTTGTTAGTTGGATGGTGCGAGTGTCGGGTAGGTAAGTACATGTACTCACGGCAACCATAATGCCCAGACCGATCATCCATTGCTGCATACTGGCTAATAGGCCACGAATCTGAGGCGGGGCAACCTCGCTCTGGCTGCACGTCAGACGAAGCTTAGTAGGCCGTGGATATAGCATTGACGTACGCAGTATACAGGAATAGTAGCTGACATTTGCCCAATGGCAATCCCCGCAATGAATCGACCAGCGATCAGCATCGCAATGGTGACTGCACCCCCTGGAGGGCAGCCCCAAAACTCGCAAGCAGTCCACCGAGGAAGATGACCATTCGGCGGCCATAGTAGTCGGAAACGAATGGGGCGAGGACCGAGCCCACGATAGCCCCCCTGATCACCGTTAGATCCCGATCGCGGCACGTTCCGACAGTGGAGGGTTACCGGTGTAAGACGAGATGATTCCTCCCGCGGCGGCATCAGATAACCCCGGAGAGCCGAATCGGGCTAGAAAAGCCTCTTGTTCGATGCTGGAAGAGATCACGCCGGAATCATACCCGAACAGAAATGACCCCAGCGCAGCAAAGGCGCAGCAGAAGGTGACGAGGAAGAAAGCCATAATCCATAGTACAGCACAGCTGTGTAGCTAGATGAAGTGGACGGGTTTGTTCCATATAAAAGTAAATTTTCAGCGCGTGTAGAATGTTGATCCGCGGGGAGTGGGACGTGCCGAAGGGATGAGTTGATAGGGAATTACATGTACGCGAGGAGATCAAGCTTAATATTCAGTCGCTTAATCTATTATCACAAAAGAGCGCTAGATCACAACTGGTCCCTCTTGGAATGACGCTTTTGACTTGGAGCGTCAAAAGAGCACCCGTGTTTATTTCATCATCAATTCTTGGATCTTCAGATCGTCTGTAATAAAGATGATGCTAATAGGTCTCCGGGGCGTTTCATGATTGTTTTCATTCTTCAGCGCGTCACAGGGCTTGTCAATTGAAGCATTCAGGCCTTGTTTCAACCCTTCTGCACGGCTGATCCCTTTTGATGGGGTCGCAAGGGAGTATGAAGTGCATTTACATACTGTACTTCTTTTAAAGGATTGCAGGGCATAGAATCATTAGAGTCATCTGGTCAGGCCAAGAATAGTAACGAGAGTGAGCACTAGTAATCTTGGCTACAGTTGATCTTCGTTCCTGTCCCCAAGTTGGAGAAGTCACTCTTAACATTGTTCCCCAACAGTGACAGGAAGTGACAGCCCTGGAACTTGGAAGATATCTATTGATTATGGAAAGGGATATGCCGGGTTTATGTGCGAAAACTTCATGAAAATATCAAACTCGCTTAGCGCCGGAGTTACAAGTTTCTCCAAGGCTAAGCAAGGAGAGGCCTACAACGTGAATAATATAGGCGACGACCTCGATATCTCTCTTGCGAACAGGTACATATAGAAAGTACGAATCTGCAGCCAAGTTTGAAACCCCGAAAGTCCTCAGAGTCATGCGGGCGCAGGGCGCGGAGAAACCCTCTACACCAATATACTTCGCTGAAGTCTTCTCCGAGTGCGCCCTACGGTCAATATGACCGGCCCATACACTCGGAAGTGATTAGACGTGACCTCGGCATGGACTTTGAAAGGCCGAGTCTAGACAGAATCGGGGTCCAGTGGAGATCGGATAAAAGTCTGAGATCACACCCAGGGAAGTCATTGGAAGAGCCAAAAATGCCTCAGGGAAAAATCTGGGAACGGGAAGTCGGTGATGCGGCCAGAAACCTCCGACAATGACTAAACGCTCTAACCTCAGTTGATCTTGGCGGGGAAATACGAACTTGGCCTCTCTTTCTCTCCAAGCCAAGACGCCAGGAGTAAACGTTCTTGTCACCGCTTTCGGGGTAATCATTTCATCATCCTCACATCTTCCTCTTTATACTTTGACTCTCAGCATAGGGCGATCCATAATATAATCGTGAGTTCGGATCGCCCGCCAAGACTCTCCTTACATGAATCCGTGCACATTACGGACATCAGATCTTCAGTCATGGCGACTATAGGCCCTCATGGCGAGGAGGACGATCCTCTGAACGACTTCAAGTACCACGATGGTGATGCCCCCCATGAGGCCGAAGCCTCACCAGACCCTAAATCACTGCCCATGCAGAAGAGGCGCCGTGTCGGCCGCGCATGCGATGAATGTCGTCGAAAAAAGATCAAGTGCGACGGCAAACAGCCCTGCACCCATTGCACAGTCTATAGTTATGGTACGCAAAGCCCTAGTCTCCTTAATCCGCGAAGCCCCCCAGCGGCCTAACAATCCTGTAGAGTGTTCGTATGACCAGCCCTCCAACCGTCGTCGCAACCCTGCCCCGCAATACGTCGAGGCTCTCGAAAATCGCCTCTCCAAGGCCGAAGCCCTCCTCCGAACCGTTCTCCCTAATGTCAACCTCGACGACCCGCAACTAGACGTACATGCGACGGAACAAAGATTAGCCGCCCAGAAAGGGAAAGATGCGACCGAAGGTGCCAAACAGCCGATTGCCCAGGCGGATTCTGCGCCAGAGGCGGGGGATGAAGGATTGCTCGAGACGATGGTCGATAATTCAGGTTGTTTAGATCGCGATGATCAGGGCCATTGGGATTATCATGGACACACGTCTGGAATTATCTTTGTTCGCCGCTTGCGCAAACAGTTGGGCGCTACGGATATCGCTAGTCCCATGTCACGATCTCGTGCCTCGATCACATCGCATATGTGGGATAGTCCAAAGTCGATGTCCGAGTCGCCTCAGGATACTTCGTTGCCTCCTACGCATGATCTGCCCCCGCGGGCGGTTGCCCGCCGCTTGTGTCACAATGCGATCGACCACGCTTGTTCTCTGATGAGATTTGTGCATGAGCCTTCGTTCTTCGCGAGTCTGGAGCGCATCTACGATACTCCTCCTGAACAATTTAGTAACGATGAGAATTCATTCCTACCGCTTTTGTATATCGTTATCGCGGTTGGATGTTTGTTCTCGGATGATGGAGCTGGCACTCTGGATTTGTCTGGCTACGAAGGTGCAATCGGCCAAGGGTAGGTCCATCTAATATCCTCGATATGGACATCCACTAACCGTCACAGATTCCAATTCTTCAAGGCTGGACGACAATTGTTGGAGGTCACTGATTGTCGTGACCTGCCTTCTCTCCAAGCGATTTGTTTCATGGTACTCTTCTTGCAATCTTCGGCCAAATTGAGTACCTGTTATTCCTATGTAGGAATTGCGCTGCGCTCATCTCTACGATTGGGTCTCCATCGCACGGTCGCGACAGACTTCAACCCCATCGAACGAGAACTACGAAAGCGAATCTTTTGGGTTGTCCGTAAGATGGATGTCTACGTCAGCACCCTTCTGGGTCTGCCTCAGATGCTGAGCGACGATGATATCGACCAAGAGTATCCAATGGAGATTGACGGGGATTTTATCACCACACAAGGAATCATTCAACAACCGTCTAATTATACACCGTTGATGGCTGGGTGCAACGCACACACCCGCCTTTCCAACATCATTTTGAAGGTGGTGAAATATATCTACCCCGTCAAAAATGCCCGGTATCGCTCGAAGTCGGACCAGCGCTACATGGTCAGTCATTCTAAGATTCGTGAGATTGAGCGTGATCTACAAAATTGGATGGAGGAATTGCCTCCTGCTCTGCGACCAGGCACAGAAGTGTCACCTCAGCTAGAACGGTCAGTCTACCTCGCGATATGATATATTTGATTGGATTCAACTAACGCCTCTCAGTATCCGACAATTACTGCGTATCAGTTACGCACACGTGCAGATGGTCATGTATAGACCTTTCCTCCACTACGTCTCTGGTGGTTCCCAAGCGCGTGGTGTAGACAAGCGATCATATGCTTGTGCAGCAGCATGCGTCAGTGTTTCCAGAAATATCGTCCACATTACCACTGGAATGCAAAAAAGAGGGTTGCTCAATGGGTCGTTCTGGTTTACCATGTATACGACCTATTTTGCCATTCTCTCTTTGCTCTTCTTCGTTATTGAGAACCCTGATTCACCAACCGCCAAGGACGGTGTGTTGAAAGATGCCATGGAAGGCAAGAATACACTGGCCGGTTTAGCAAAGAAAAGTTTAGCTGCCGACCGGTGCTCTCAGAGCTTGAACGTATGTCTTACCATGTCCTCTCATTAACTTTGGCTAATTTGGTTGCAGTGCCTCTTCAAGACTTTGCCTGAGATGCTCAAGAACCGTCAAAGCTCTAAGACTCCTGTTAATCTCAAGCGGTCAGCGCCATCCAACCAAACAGCTGAGCCTGAGCCCGTCCAATCTTCGTTTGAGAAAACACTGCCACATCGGTCCAGCACTTTCCCTATGCAGATGATGCCCCAGACTCCTGCACCCGAGGCTCCGACCCGTCGTCAACAGAGTCTTGACAACACCCAGATGATGAACAACCGCCCCAATGAGAATGGTAGCCAGTCGACATGGATCTCAACAACGCCTGAGCTGCTTACGGAAACCATGTCTACCCCGGAACAGATATCTTCAGCTAGCTCCATGAACCCTTCCATGTCCAACCAGGAGCCCTCGAGTCTTGCATGGGCCCAGCAATTTACCAACCCGGCCAATCTCCCCGATCTCATGCCGATGATGTTCCCCTCTGACGATCCATTCGCGTATCCCACACAACCCATGTCCACTCTGGAAGATGACCACTTCCGCCACGACCGAGGAATGGCCCCATCCCAATACCCCTTTGATGCAGCCCCACAAGCCAAAGGCATGGGAACAACGACTCCCACCGATCCCCCTGGTGGCGTTGGAATCTCTACCCCGACTTTTGACTTTAACAATCTCCCTAATTTCCCCGGGAATCCCTCGGCGATTAAGTCATCAGTGCCAAGCCGTCTCCAAGCTTCCCATTCCAGAAGCTCGTCACGTATCCACTCCCCGATCTCCCAGGGCCAGACCCCAAGCGAGGCCCTCAGCAGTCCGGATCTGGTCTCAATCCCGAACCAGAACTTCGTTTGGCAGGGTTACAACTTCCAACCGAACAACCCCAATAACCCCAATAACCCCAACGACATGCCAACCGAATCCGCCCCGCAGCAAGAGTTCACCAGTCCGAATGGACTACCTGATGCCAGCATGGGCATGACGGATGAAAACATGGGCGTGAACATGGACCTCGGGATCTCGTTCGACGACCTATTCGGAAACAATGCAACCTTCCGACCTAACAATGGGGCATCCAATGACGATTGGACTCAGTGGATGAATGCCAATGTCTGATTGAATCTTTACTTTTAACTTTTGCTCGGCTTCTATGAGAATATGCAATTATGAATGCCAAAATTTCTTGGTGTAAAAACTGTCGATACCAGGTTGGCGTTGTGTGTTGGCTTTGGCGTCTCGCTTTTGGAATTAGCTACATGTACATGCTGATGATCTGTACAGTCTGGTGCAGTTAAGATCCAGTATAATTGATTTCGCTCAAGTCTTGATCTATCTCTAACTAAACTAGCGTATATCAGCGTGACTGAATAAGATGTAGGGAAAACTAAGTTTGGGACGACAAGAGGGCGGTTGGGCTAGATCACCAGATCTTCTTCATATAGGAATAGATTACTAGATTCATTGGACACAATGACTTAGTTGTCGATAACTTCGATACAATACAACAGGGTTGAAGACAAACGCGGACTATCTTATAGCGGAGGTCTAGCGATCAGTTGGAAGACCCACATAAGACTCGCGCATCTCAACGTCCTGACGCAACCTCTCCTTCATACGCGATGGCCCTCCACACCCTCACCCTACACGTACACCCATGAGGAATAGTCCCTCCAATTGACAAACGCACCAATCGCATCCACAATATCTGCAGTCGCATGCAGTCCTAACAACCCATCCAATCCGATGTACATGTCATTATCGCCTGCATATTTCCGCTCCTATTTATAGCCCACCTGGCACAATGCCCTCCCTCCCGAAGCTGTCGACAGTCATAACCTGGTTCCTATACTCTATCCCAATATACATCTTCGTCCTCGACCCGCTACTCCGCGGCTTCTTCCCGGGTCTCCTCCCGGCCTCGGACTCGGACTCCGAACCCAGATCCAATAAAGACATCTTCGATTTCGACGACGCCGCTGCTATAGGACCGGGCCTTAACCTTACCGATGATAGCTTCATCAGTCCGGAAGATGGCGTGCCATTCGATTGTCCCAATGCAGAGGGATATCGCGTGCACCTCCTATCGCGCGCGCCGCTGATAATGTACATTGAGAACTTTATTAGTGAAACCGAAGCGAATCATCTACTTGATGTCAGGTAAGCAAGGAACCACCACTCCAACCTGAACCCAACTAAACATATTAACACCACTCTCTAATCCAGCATCCCAAACTACAAACCCTCCATCCTCTACGACGGCCATACCGAACGCATAGACCCAACAAAACGCCTCTCAGATCGCGCCCTCCTAGACCGCGACAATACAGTCCGCTGCCTGGAAGACCGCGCGCGTGCCTTCCAAGGCTGGCGCCCGAACCTGTACATCGAGCGCATGTGGGCCCAGCGATATAATACCTCCGGCCACTACCGGCACCACTATGACTGGACGGGATCGCTGGCGCGCGGCGGGGATCGATTGAGTACGTTTATGGTTTATCTGGATGCGCAGTGTGAAGGCGGGGGGACGAATTTTCCTAGATTAAAGATGCCGCGGTCGAAGGAGTGGTGTCGGTTTTTGGAATGTGAGGATGGGCACAAGGGGAACGAGAGGGAGGCGATGCCCGAGGGAATCACTTTCAAGCCTATTAAGGGGAATGCCGTGTTTTGGGAGAATCTAAGACCGGATGGGTCTGGTTACCCCGAGACGTGGCATGCTGCCTTCCCTGTTATGGAGGGGACGAAGGTTGGGTTGAATATTTGGAGTTGGTATCAACCTGGTAGGCGGTAGGGTGTTGTGAAGAGAGCACGTGGCTGGGCTGGCTTTTGCCGATATGTGCTTCTAAGGGGTAGAATGCTTGGGTTTTGTGAAGATGAGATGAGATGAGATGAGCCTGGATATCTAACCTGTCTGAACATAAAATAGAATAGAATAGACTTGCGAGACAAGATCATATAAGAAGATGACATGTACTCTACGGACGGGGCTGTTTCGTTTCGTGACTGAAACGCGACTTATGCATACAACCACCATGCTTCCCAGGCAACCATATTAATCAGTTACGAAAGGGATGGTAGCGAGGCTGGTCGAAGGGGGAAATACCAAGACCCAAGACTCAAGGTCTTGGTCCTCGGAGCGGGAATTATTGGCAGAGGGATTACTTGGCTGCCAAGAAGCATGGCCCCATGTTTCTATGTGCTTGGCGAAGTAACTTGATCTCAGGGTTGCCACGTCTGTTCCACAGTCATTTCCCCCGAGGCTATTCGAGGTATTGGGATGGCGAATGAGAAGGATTAAATTACCCCAATACCCCTAATACCTCTAATTTACCGTTTGCCTCCGAAGCACCCGTTGGGCTTAGGCTAGTCCTGTTTAGGTGTTATATCTGTACCTAGAGAGCCCCTGGGATTGTCTGCTTCTTCGAAGCCCTATTATTATATGCAATGCAGTCTCTAATCCTCGGAGTCCAACGGGAAGGATACGTGTTAGCACCGGAATGTAGAATACGCACAGCCCCTTTCCCTCCAGACCAACCAGTCACAAGCCATGGCGCAGCGCCTCTCGGGTCTTGGGGCCCGCACCAACTCTTGGCCCGGTCTTGTCGCTTGGTTGTCTTGTCCCTTTCTTGTCACGCACTCCGCCCGGCTTAGCAAAGCGCTTTTTCTGGGCAAAGGCTCGGCTCTTTTCCCTTGCGGAGAAGGCCCCCATTTTCTCTCTTCCCTTTATCTTTCCCCGAGGTCTTCCCCCCTTTTCTTTCCCTTTCACTCTATACTATATCATATCATCTCTTGCCTGTATAGCGTAACTGCTCCTTGTGATTGCCACACGTTTTCATTTCAACTGTTCTTATCTGAAAGCCGTGTCTGGGCTTTCCGCCAGCACCACCAGATTCATTTCTTGGCATCATGACAGATACCAACATCGCATCGACCACGACGCCGCAGGCTACTATCCCTGCGCCGGTCGCTGATCAGTCCGCTCCTATACAGGCAACCGCGACACCAACAGCGTCCGTCACCGCGACTGCAGCCGCCGCCACCGCTGCCGTCAACAGCCCCGCCATGAACGGCGGCGGCGAGCAACTGCCCTGCCAATGGGTTGGCTGCACTGAAAAGTCCCCAACTGCCGAGGCTCTCTATGTAAGATCGCCGACTCAAGGTGATAGTGTAGAATATACGCTGACGCGCTGGTTACACAGGAACATGTCTGCGAGCGCCATGTTGGACGCAAGAGCACTAACAACTTGAACTTGACTTGCCAATGGGGTACTTGCAACACTACCACTGTCAAGCGTGACCACATCACCTCTCACATCCGGGTACATGTGCCTCTCAAGCCTCACAAGTGCGACTTCTGTGGCAAGGCTTTCAAGCGTCCCCAGGATTTGAAGAAGCATGTCAAGACCCATGCCGACGACTCGGAAATTCGGTCGCCCGAGCCTGGCATGAAGCACCCCGACATGATGTTCCCTCAAAACCCTAAAGGTTCGTCCTAGGATCCTTTTCCGCCCGTTTGAGCTCCCCGCTTGGCACCTCTCTTGGCACCGCTACCTTGGCATTTTACCCTTGAATTTTGGCACAATGTCTCCCCGTTGGACCTTTGGACCCCATCGACTCTTTGCATTAAAGGCACGATCACTGACTGAACCCACGGCATTTAGGTTATGCTGCCGCTACTCACTATTTTGAGAGCCCCATCAGTGCCGTCAATGGCGGATACTCACACGGTGCGCCTCAGTACTATCAACCCCACCCTCCTCCTCAGCCTGCAAACCCGCATTCTTATGGCAATGTGTACTATGCGCTGAGCCAGGGACAAGACGGAAATCACGCCTACGATCGCAAGCGTGGGTACGATGCTCTGAATGAGTTCTTCGGTGACCTGAAGCGCCGCCAATTTGACCCTAGCTCCTATACTGCGGTCGGCCAGCGCCTACTTGGCCTACAGGCTCTCCAGCTCCCCATCCTTAACGGCCCTGTGCCAGAGTACCAGCACATTCCTGCCTCTGTTGCAGTCGGAGGAGGCAGTGGTTACAGCCCCGGTAGTGGCCAGGCTCCTGGCTACCATCTCCCTCCCATGTCTAACGTTCGCACCAAGAACGACTTGATCAACATTGATCAGTTCCTCGAACAAATGCAAAACACCATCTACGAGAGCGACGAGAACGTGGCGGCTGCTGGCGTTGCCCAGCCCGGTGCCCACTACGTCCACGGTGGCATGAACTACCGTGCTACCCACTCGCCTCCTACTCAGCTCCCGCCAAGCCATGTCACCGCGCACTCTTCAGCCCCCATGATGGCTACTTCGGCTCACTCTCCTTCCGTCGGCACCCCGGCCCTGACGCCGCCCTCCAGTGCACAGTCTTATACCTCGCAGCGCTCCCCTATCTCCATGCACCACGCTCACCGTGTCTCGCCTCCTCATGAGAGCGGCGCTGGCATGTACCCCCGTCTGCCATCAGCCACTGTCGTCGACAGCATGGCAGCAGGATACCCAACCGCATCAAGCGCCGCGCCGCCATCTACCCTGAGTGGAGCATACGACCACGAGGACCGTCGTCGCTATACCGGCGGTACTCTGCAACGCGCTCGGCCGGCCGAGCGAGCTGCGACCGAGGACCGTATGGACGTTTCCCAGGATAGCAAGGAAGACGGCGAACGCACTCCCACCAAGGAGCGCCCTGCCGTCCACTTCTCCGAAAGCCTGATTGATCCCGCGCTGCACTCCAGCACATCCCCCGACCCCGACCAGGAAGCTGCCCAGCGCACCGCGCAGGCTGCTACTGAAGTCGCCGAGCGCGATGTCAACGTCGCCTGGGTGGAGAAGGTCCGTCTGCTCGAGAACCTGCGCCGCCTAGTTTCAGAGCTGTTGGAGGCTGGCAGCTTCACTCCCCAGTTCGATGCTCAGAGTGCCCCGGCCCCTGCCTCTGCCTCCCCGACTCCTGGACTCGATGCCATGGAGGGTGTTGAGACTGGCAGCGCACCTTCTGAGACGAAGGAGGAGCCTACCAAGGCTGAAAGCGAGGCTGTATTCTACCCCACATTACGTGGTGTGGATGAAGACGAGGACGGGGATTCCAAGATGCCCGGCGATGAAGCGTAGATCTTTGTTCTTCGAGGTTTTAGCCTGATTAACGCCGTGACGACATTTTGTTTATTGCTATGTCTTTCTCTCCGTTTTCTTTACTATATTTTCTCTTTGTCCTCTTAAGGCTGGTTTCGACTTCTGCCATGAAACAAATTCTCATTTATTTCCTTTTTTCCTTTCCCCCCCCCTTTCCTCTATACGCTGGGTCCATGGTCCCCGTTTTTTTGCTCTGTTTCCATTTGTATGATTAGGATCCTGTTTATTGACGGAAAATGTTGTTTGCGTCTTTTCTTCCAATTGTATTGTAGCATGTAGATCCTGTCTAGATCGCGGTTGATACTACGGTTCACTGAGTCCGTTGGCTCCGGATCGACATGTCAAACCCAAAGGGGCAAGACAACATTCCAGGCTAAACTGGATCCGGGGGTGACGCAAACGGTGGGGGGTCTGACAATTCAATCATATGAAGTAAAGATGTGAACTGTTGATATGTAGATGTAGATATTATAGATGTTTAAGTTATAGTTATAGATCACGGGGCTAGTACGCGCGTGTTATACAACTAGACAGACAACTTGCACTTGCACTCAAAAGTTAGAATGTCAACACCTAGCCCTAGAATGTCAACACCGAGCCTTGGAACTGTCATTCCAAAGCAAACATCAACTCGATCCCCCTCTGCATCTGGTAATGGCTGTCTGCACTCGGAAGCCTCGATCCCACCCCCATGTACTGTATTGGTATTTACGTCATCTTTGTACCTGCAGGTGGGCTTCCCACTTGTATTATACATGTTTGTGACCAAACTCCACAGTTTTCATGGTCACCTCAGCACATCTCATTTATTTTCTTCTCATCTCTTGTTTCTCTTTTGTATCTTCTCTCTCTTTACTTTGTCGACTTTGTCAACTCTTTACGTTGTGTTGTACCTGTATCCCCACGCGACAAGGCGGTCACCCCAAACAGACGCCATCGCGCGTGTCGATCGGCCTAGGGATTATCGATAATAACATCCAGCCACACAATATCAACTACTCGGGGCTTGACGACCCTCTTCCTTTCTTGTTTACTAACCTCGTTTACTATCGTGGTTTATTTTCCCTTCCTTTTTCCCGGTGGCAAATTACCAATCCGTTGGCTCTAACGTTCTGGTTCTCTGGTTCTCTGTAACGCTTTTCCGATCTTGGGGGCGCTGAAATCCGGATCCAGAGTTGACTTTGTTTTTTACCCTCTGGTTTTCGCCTTCGACTTGCCTCATCTTTGTTACCCGCTGTGTTTGTTGGGTACTCGGACTTGGACTTGTCAACACACAAAAATCGATTTGCGATCCGGTTGCAATTACACTTTCGGAAAGGAAGATCCAAATTCTTGCGATATGCCGCTATCAAACCGCCGCCGCGCGCGGCGCAAGGAAATCCAACTGCAGGAGACATCCGACGCAGAGGCACCGGACTCATCGCCCAGCCGGCCCTCCGCAAAGAAGCGCAAGGTAAGTCAAAACAAAGTCTTCAGTCCGAGACGCAACCCAGCCCCGCGCAAAACAGGAACTAAACCCCGATGTTTTCCTCTGATCCAGGTTGAGCGCCGCACCTCTCCTCCCCGCAATGTCAAACACGAGTCCGGCGACGAGGCCGAAGACTCGACAGGCGATCACGAACCAGCCACCAACCAAGACCTGGTCGATCTAGTGATCTCATATCTGAACACACCCCGCGAAGAGCTGCGCGTCTCACGCGACCACTCCAACACCAAAACCGAGAACACACAGCGCATCCAGGCCTACGCGAAGATCGCCGGCCGCAACTGGACCTATTACGTCAAAACTTTGCATGTCAATATCGGCCGCGAGCCGGACCGCGAGCCGAGAGCCCCCGAGCAGTCCAGTCCCGTTGCCATTGCCGCCCGTGCATTACCGGATGTCCATGTCGACTTGGGCCCGAGCAAGTTCGTGTCCCGTCTACACGCTGAGATCTTTTACGATGGCGAGGAGACGCCCGCCTGGCACATCCGCGTAAATGGCCGAAACGGCGTGCGCTTGAACAATGGCATAATTAAGCGCGGCACTGATGCGATTCTGTCATGTGGTGATATCATCGAGGTGGCCAATACCCAGATGATGTTTGTGACGCCTGGCGACGAGGCCAATATTCAGCCTAGCTTTATCGAGCGCGCTCAGCGCATTGCTAGTGGTCAAGAGCCGGATCCGGCTTCGGTTGCCTGGGATGCATCGCAGCATGCCCATCCGCCCCAGGCATCTCAGAATACTGAGGCTGCGCGGCCTTCTTCGTCTGGTGGGCCGTCGTTGGCGCCTGCTCCGCAGTTCCTTAAGCGCCAGGTTACGCCGCCACCGCGCTCGCCTGATACTGCTGGCCAGCGCACGGCGAAACAGTCGCCGCTTTACAACCGTGGTATGATGATGGAGAGTACGGAGGAAATTGATTACAGCAATGATTCATCGAAAGATCTGAAGCCGCCGTACAGCTATGCCACGTTGATTGCTCAGGCTATTTTCTCCAGTGAGGAGGAGAAGCTTACACTGAATAGCATCTACAATTGGATCATGGACCGCTATGCCTTCTACCGGCACTCTCAGAGCGGCTGGCAGAATTCAATTCGTCACAATCTGTCCCTGAACAAGGCGTTCCAGAAGGTCCCCCGCCGGACAGATGAGCCGGGCAAGGGTATGAAGTGGCAGATTGCAGCAGAGCACCGGGAGGAGTACCGGAAGAAGCAGATGCGCAAGGGTGGCACGCAGTCGTCTGCACCGTCATCGCCGGCTACAAAGGAGCCCCCGTCCTCAGCACGCGGAACACATGTCACTGCTCTCGACACTTCATTCTCCGCCACAGCCAAGAAATCCCCACCGGTCTCATCGCCCGGGTTCAGTTCATTCCCCGTGGCCCCAGTCGAAGCCTACACACCAGAGCGCGGCTCAAGACTCGGCCGCGGCGTTGGATCCGACCACCCGCTCCGCCACATGAACCCACGCGACTATGAAGAACCATCCCCACTACCCGCGCGCGCTAGCCACGTCCAAAACAGCAGCAACAGCCTCACCCGCGCTTACGGGATGTCCGACAACGTAACGGGCTCTCCACCCGTCCTCTCCTCCTCATACTACAACGAAGAACCCTCCTCAATGATAACGCCCGCTCCTCAACGCCAACAACCCCGCCTCCCACCCCCAAGCACAGCGCAGATCCCATCAAAGTTCATGCCCATGAGCTCGCCGGCTCAGTTCTGGAAGTTCGCCGATATTGGGTCTACACCTGCCCGCCCCGTGCCGGATATGAGCCCGCTCAAGGGCGAGGTTGGGGATCGCATTATTCGCGGGTTCCCGAGTAGTAGTCCTCCGCCGCCGAACCTTGCTAGTCCTTCTAAGCCTGGGACGTCGAATGGGTTAGGCTCTGGGCAGAAATTGCCGCCTATTCAGACGGAGCCTTCGGATCATGCGGCCAATGGCTCGAGGAAGGAGGAGAGAGTTGAGGATGAAGAGGATGATGGTTCGGGCTTTGATCTTGCTAGGTATGTTTCTCTCCCTTGGGTATATCACATATATCCTTGGGATTTCGGGTCCGAGAGGCATCTGCTAATATTTTGAATAGGGGTTTCCAACCTATCGGTTCATACCATCGACAATTAAGTAATGCTGCTCGTGCAACAGCTACTTAATTTGCTTGTCTTTCATGATGTATAACATGTCCACTATCCCAAAGAGTGTTTTAAGTTTGTCTTGTTTCTCACCTCTTTCATGCTTCCGCATTACGAATGGTGTTGGGGGCTTTGTTTTTGCTTTTGGTTATCCCTATATCTGTTTGAATGTTTACTTGCAAACATTGCTGGGAACAGAGAACGGAGTTTGAGTTTGAAACTGTTTCCATTTTGCTTGTCTCTTTTGCTGGGGGTTGTGGACATTCGGCGTTTTATTGCTTGTTTTTGTTAATGTTTGCGCTGTCATCGCGGTAGATGGCTTTGTATGTATGGCTTCGACTTTGTCGGCTGTGTATGATATTCTCACATACAACATTGTTTGCATGCAAAAGTGCATCTAGTGTAGATTGTAGATTGAGTAGAAGTAAAAGAAATATTTTTGGTTCAAATAAACCATGTATAAAGATGCTATTACATTTTGCTTTTTCATACTTTCATCCCCAAAGAAACATACACAAAGCAACCCCTATAGCCCAATATAAACCTACTGATAAGGCTTAACTTTCGGCCAAAACCTCTCCTCCAACCAAAGAATCTGCTTCCACCACTCCAAACACCTCCCACGCATCAACTCAGTCTCCTCGGCCCCCTTGAGCTGCCCAGCCATCTCATCAACAACATCCCCAATAGAATTAACAAACACCTCAAACTCATCACTCGACCAATTGGCAATAAACTTCTCCCTCAACGCTCCCCCATCCGCATCACCCTTATAATCCTGCTTCTCGTCCATATTCTGCCTCATATACCCAGCCGCAAACCTCCACGCCCGCAGGTAACAAACCTCCGTAGCCCACAGCACAGCCAACCCCTCCAAAACCGAAACACCCGCACTACCGGCACTCATAAACATATCGATATAAGCCCTCGTCGTCCGACTAGCGCTGAAGGAAATCGTCCCACACTGGTCAAGCTCTGTAACAACATCCATCGCTTCAGGCGTGCGAGCAGGTCCAGGTCCACCAGTCCCAGCTCCAGTCCCCGCCCCATCCGCCGTCGCAGGCGAAGTCGTCGAAACCTTACCAAACGGCGACAAGTTCTGAACAGACTGTGTGTCGAACTGCGGTTGCGGCACGCACATCTCGCTCCCGGCTGGCATCTGACACTCGCCCTGCGAACGACAGAGTGCATGGTCGGCGGAGGGTGCGCCAGAACCAGTAGCAGCAACGCCCTGGGAGCCAGAGCCGGTTCCGAAATCATCGATTGAGGGGTCGCGGGCTAGGAGGGCATTCCCATCGCGGCCGCCAGTGGAACCCGGGCAGGCGCTTGAGCCGGTACTTGAGATTCCAGCTGAGGTAGTGATGCATCTACCAGAGCCGCAGGAGGTACGCTCGCCACCTTCCTCGGACGAGATTGCTGTGAGATCGAGACCGTAGTCGTTTGCGGTTGTTTCGAAGAAGGAGAGTTCCGTGCGGATGTTTACGAGCGCGTCGATGAGGACTGTGATTGCTTTTTGTTCGGGGGGTTGTGCAGTGGGTTTGGGCTTGAGGGGGCTTGCGGGGGAGGCGGATTTTTGCGAGGAGGAGGCCTATGAAGCGGATGTAGGATTGGGCGTAGAGCCGGTCTTGGGAGAGCCATTGGCTTAGGGTTGATTTTGGGAGGGTGCCGCTGCCTGCCGCTGCTAGAAAGGGGTGGTTTGTTGCTCGGGCTAGGCCGCCTGGTGTGCTGCCTAGCAGATACGTTGTCAGGGGGCCTTGGCTGCTCATTTTTGGTGGTTGTTTGTTGGGGAGGGGTGTAAAGAAGGGAGGGTCGATTTAGAGTAGGGATCTGGTGGGGGCGATAGTGGGATGAAGATGCGGGTATGTCGTCAGATCGGAGCTTGGACGTTGCCCCATGTCTTATCCTGTAGATTGATTGTACTGTATGTATATGTGATTTAGGGAATACTCATTTGGCCGATTTAATATGGTATTATTATAATGAGGTGGGCGGAATCTAGAGAAAATACACAGACTACACACGTATATACTTGAGACCTAGCTCAGCCGAGTCGTCATTAACGACACACCACAGTCTGTAACTAAATAAATGTTAAATATAGCAACGAGTGTAGTCAAATCAAAGTCAAATGGAGATGCATTTGGCTCAAACGCTAACAAAGCTAAAATGTTGATTTGTGCACATTTCCATGGTATCTTCAATTTTCGGACGTTTCCTCCGCATAGAACTCAGATCTCGGTCTCTGTCAATTCACCGACAAGCTTCTCCTGAGGCTTCTTGGACTCTTCCTCGGGCTCCTCCTTGGGCTGCGTGGATTCCTTCGCCCTCTCTTCCTTCTCATATGCCCACGGTTTCTCTCCAGCAGCCTTCATCATCAGACGCACAAGACCATGCAGGGTGTAGTGCGCATCATTGCCCCCGTTGTGCAAGTTTACATGCAAGACCTGCAGTGATCTCAGAACATTCTCCAGGCCTCGATTCTGAAGCTCGCCAGATTCGGCACGGTATAGTTCTGCCAGGTCGAGAGTGTCATAGAAGATTGACCGAGGGGTATTGTAGTCAAGGAAAACCTGGCTTGCATTGCTCCTGAGCTGTTGGATATCGCCATTCAGGTTCAAGCCAACCAGGACGATGTTGCGCTTCTGATGCTTCCACCAATAGGCGGGGTCTTCTGCAGTGGGAACCATGTACGGAGGTTTGAATGCTTTGTCTACGATTCGTCCAACTTCGGCAGATGGGACAAACTCGCTTTCGCCAAAGTCAAAACTACCAGGGCATCCGTGGCAGAACTCCGAGTTGGTCCAGTGCCGATATTCATCCACGCGCAGGTGTCGAGACCGGATACGGGCCGCCCACATCTCGCCATAATCACCCGGGACCACACCTTCCAGGTCCATCATATCCAGAGTTGAGATGCCAACTTCGGTCAGCTGCCAGTTCTGTCGCTCATTCCATTCAATATCGACGCAGATAAAGATAGGCGAGTCTTGGTAAGTCCATTTGACAGTGCGCGTGGGATCGATGGGTTGAATTTCGCCGTTAGCAAACGAAGGCTGGTGCGTGTTTGCTTTCCACAGAGGTCGCAGACCAAAGAAGGCCATAGCACGACCTAGACGTCCTTCGGCATCTCGCTTCTTCTTCACTTGCTGAGCCTTTTTGAGATCTTTCTTCTTGATCATATCGAAGGACAGCCGGATGTTTGCTTCAAATGCCTCCATGACAATAGCCTGAAGCTCGTGTGACCAAAGTCCCCATTCAAGACGGGAAGAGGGAATAGTCTGGGCCAGCTCATCCTTCTTCTCGGCGCTGCTGCTTTGACCAAGGAACATCGGAAGCGGGATTTTGTCATTGCCAAAGGTGAGCACCATTCCCTCTCTGCCCGTGCCGGTGAGTTGAATCTGGCTCTTCAAGGTTGAATTCATCTCTTCAATGAAGGAAAAGGCTTGCTTGGCGGGAATGAGAAGCAATGCCCCCTCACTAATCGCTTTTGGAACACTCAGGTAATACCTAGATACGCGTTAGTGGCAGTCAACCAAACCCAGTGTTGTTCACATACAAATCCCAAGTCCGTCTCCAGAACTTCCCTCCGTCATAGAACTCCTTCGAGGTTCTCTTGGCCAAGTCTCCGCTCATGTGCCTAAATGGAAAACGAGCAAGGGCGACGACCGGGGTAAAGGATGAGGGAACTGAGGTGTCCGAGGATACAGTGCTCTCATCTGGGATAACGGTGGAATCCTCCGATGGGCCAAGATCGGGGTTGGAGTTAGCGTCCAAGAGAGCATCGTCGCTCGGTTCCGTGACGCAACCAGGGGACTCGGGATCCTGATGCAGTGGAGTCAAATCGCCACCCTTCTCCTTGTCGTATGCTTCCTTCACACCTGAACCGGGGACGTAGGTACGGATGTAGGAAAGCGGATGATGGCGAACAAGAGGAAGCGCATGGGGAGATGAGTGTGGGGAGTGACTAGGATCATTCACACTTACGCCTTCCTCAGTGTCACGCAGGCTATTCAGGCCAGGGGCCAGGTTCAGGATATTCATGTTGTCTTTGAATAGCAACGTGAGACGATCGCGAGGATCCATCGGTTGAAAGATGAACCTAAGGGAAGATCGAGTAAAGAGAAAAGAAAGTGAAAATGAAAGAGATCACGACAAGCAAAGATAAACAGACGCAAAGTCTTGAGCGTGTTGCTTCTGTCTAATTAGGAAATAATGAATGTTGGAAGGAGCCAACCAGCAGCATAGATATCACTTTGATCACTGGCCATGAACAAAGTCACTTTGATCGATAATTTAAATGATGTAGTTACATATTGCAAATGTGGCATGTAATTATTGATTCCATTATATTTCAGCCCTAGGCGAAGGACTCAAGAAATACATCGGAATGTAGAGGAAGAAGACAATCAACCTGTGGAACTTGTATAGATCTGGCGTGCACGTGACGAGGGAGCTCCCCAGGGCCGGGGAAATGATGACCCGCTGTTTGGGACCTCGTGCAGCGAAGGCATCCAGCTACTCTGGCGCGATTCAAGGCCTATAATCGTCTATTCTTGTTGTTGAACTTTCTTATCGGGTATAAGTCCATCGAGACTATTGTGTTGTGATCTGGCGACACAACCTCCCCTTTCGCCTCCAACTGCGCCCTCTTACCAAACATGGCTATGACGGACGAGACAGACGACAGTGGGGGTGTCATCCTGGATGGCCCATTTGACCCTGACGCCCAGGCGACCGTGACAGATTTCATAGACTATACCGAATATCTTCCCGCCGACCTCATCCGCTCGTTGACGCTCATCCGCGGCCTCGATGACCGATACCTCGACTCGGCGCAAGGAGTGCATCAGCTCACCCAAATCTATGGTCAACTCCCTAGCCTTCCATCTGACAACAGACCGGGCGCTATCGAACTGCGCAAGGATATCTCACTTCAAATGGATCGCGCAATCAATGCGCGGGAGTCAGCGTATGCCGAGGCCTGTCGCCTGTACGACGTCGTGGATCGCCACTTCGACCGACTGGGTTGTATCCGTCAGAAGCTGGAAGCACTTCCAAAACCCGCGTCATCGGGACCGTCGCCAGCCCCAGAACCCACTCCCAAGCGTGTGCGCACAACCAAGAAGCCAGAAGGAGCAAACCCAACGCGTATCACCCTTCGGGTCGATAATCGCAGACCTAGAGATAATAAGAGGAGGAAGCGTGCTTCGGGCCTTGATGGAGCAGGCTTCGATCCTGACTCCCCGATCGCCAGTACTGAGCAATCAGATGCGGAGGCCGAGCTCGAGACAATCATCCGGAAGCCATCCAGACCGAAGAAAGAAAAGCCACGTCGTCCAAGCTCTGGTAATGGACAGTCCACGGCTCAAGCTCTAGCACAGTTGAAACCACCACCTGAGGATGCGAAGTTGGGCAGCGAAGACTTGCCATGGCTGCGATTGACTGAATGGGAAATGACACGTTTGCGAAAGAAGATGAAGAAGAATGCTGTGTGGCAACCCAGTGAGGTGATGATTCACCGCGAATTAGCCCTTGCAAACCGAGGGTGGGAAGCTTACAGGTTAGCCAAGGCTCTGGCGGAGGAGACAGGCGTGGAGTTCATTGACTGCGACAACATTGAGCAGACTCGCCGGGGCGAGGCTGCCAAGGACCTGGAAGAAACGAAATTGAGCAACCGCGGAATGAAACTGAACGAAGCAAAGAAACTGAAGCGCGAACAGCTGGCTCGTGAACAAGCGTTGATGGACGGCGATGGAGTATTACCCAAGGCTGTACAAAGCCCTGCACAGCCAACACCCGCCGCCAATCGGTCCTCACGGAAGAGAAAAAGAGAAGAGGCTATGGTTGAAGAGCCAGAAGCCGTCGCTCCCGAGCCTACACCAGTGCCGGTCCCTGCGCCGGCCCCAGTTTCTGCGTCTGCGCCTACACCTGCAACCTCTTCCCGATCTGGCGCTCGGCGTAGATCCAGTCGAGGAGCCGCACTAGTCACAGAAACCAGTAATGACGTCGTACCTTCAATCAAGACTCGCGTCTCTCCCCCGCCGAAGCCCAAGTCTCTCCTCCTCTCCCCAGTCCCACTGGCTCCCGCCGCTCCAATCGATCATTAATTCAACCTATTACCACACCGACTCCTCCCGTGACCCGACCCTCCTCACGGCGCTCAGCAGCAGCCGCATCAATTGAGACAGGGGCTCTCGGCGGAATCCATGCCGCTTTAGCAGCCAGTGGACGCGACCAGCGTATCAAGAGCGCAACACCTACCCACAAACGTGAATCATCTCATGCCCCGAGCGTTCCTGGGCCCGCCCGTCGACGAAAACGCCCTGCGCCAGGTCCTATTTCCTCCGGCCAGGATGGTGGAGCGGCAGTGAGCTATGGACGCCGTAAAGCCAAGCCAGGAAAGAAGCGCATTAGCATCCGCGACTCTCAAGATGTTCGAGTTGATGAGGATGGCGTACTTGAACAGATTGATGTCAATGAGCCTCGATACTGTCTCTGTGGAGACGTCAGTTTCGGGACAATGATCTGTTGTGAGAATCCAGATGTGAGTTTTACTTTCTTTCCACTGCCCTCAGACTCAATACTAACCCGACTTAGTGTGACCGCGAATGGTTCCACCTGGACTGTGTTGGTCTGACCGAGGTTCCTTCGCGCACAGCCAAGTGGTACTGCCCCCAGTGCCGGGTCAAACTTCACAAGGGAGAAGATGGTATTATCAAGGGGGATCACGACGTTAGTTATGGGATGGATTGAACTTTCTTGCATGATACCACGAGATGCGTTTGCGGGTTTTCTGCACACTATTTGCTTATTTGTGGTGTTTAGGGTCTTGGTACCGGTTGGCTATTAGATCAAGCTATTTTTCTCGGCCAAGTAATTTTTCATTTATCTATGTATCAACATTCTTACTCAGGCTTACTTTGTACATCTGTCCTTTAACTAGGAGTATCTGCGTATAGTTTCTGTCACATCGAAAGGATATCATAACTAATTTTCTCTGTAGTCGGCCGCTCCCAAGACATTCAACAGAATATGCTCAGTAAACATGCCATGAGACACACATGATCATTTCTATCATCCAAAGGCCAAAGATATAAACATGGATCTCAAGGATTGCCTGACTTGCTATCCTTGCTCAAAGGAGTAATCTACTTATATTCATCGGAAGTACTTCTTCAACCTATAGTTGGGTACATCATCCATAATAATTTATTGGTAGATACTACTGTTTCTCAAAACATACATGGTCCTTTGTTATTTTCCTCAGTCAGGGAGACTCGAAATGGCACTCGTCTAAAGCGCCATCATCAGGAGACCCGTCACAGCAGCCCCCATAGCAGAAGTCATTGTCAACCAACCGCTCACAAACACAGTAGGACCAACAGTCCCAGCAGCAGCTCCCTTTGACGTAGATGTACTAGCAGAACCCCCAGTAGGATTAGAAGTAACGGTGCCAGTTCCAGCAGCGCCACCAGCCTGGCTGACAAGAGCATTGCAATCACCGGAACCATCCTTCACAGTCTGAACCTTAGCCGCACCATTGAAATCACACGCAGAGCTGCTCTTATCCTGACTCTCGTAGTACCGGTTGAACGCCTGGGAGAGCTGGTCCTTGCTAGTGCACACACTGTAGGCACCATATTCTGCACTAGTCGCATTGTGCGCAATACCATCGCAGATGTGTGTGCCGTATCCACACACTTCAGCAAAGAGACCGGAATAGTCTTCTGCCTTGACAGAATCGCTAACCACACAGGATAGACTAGCAACCATACAAGAGCAAAGCTGTTGATTCGGAGTCGGGGGCAGAGGACTCGACTTTGCGAGCCAGCTCTCGTTAACGGTTGGGCACGCACGCGGCGAGTTGGTCGGAAAATAGCTGGCGCTGTTGGTGCCGCTAGGGGTTGCGCTTTGGATCTGGCTAGAGTAGTAACTGAAATCGACTTCGGTAGTGACGGAGTTGCCGTCTACTGAGACGAGGCCGTAGTCATTGTCGGTTTCGAAGTACATGTAGACGATGCCACCGCTCCATACATCGCTCATCTGTGGACCGAAGAGGACGGGGATATCGGTGAATTTGCGGGGTCTCACGGTATTGCAACCGTACTCTGAGAAAAAGACCGGGATTGAGTAATTCTGGTACTCATTGGTTCGGTCTTCATATCCTGAGGTTTGGAATGTTTGGTCGCCGCACCATTCGTAGATATTGTAGCCGAAGAAGTCGATTGCACTCGACTGGTCGCCGCAGTTTAGATAGTCTGAAAGCGTTGTTCGGATATCTTCCTGGTCTGTTGTTGCGTAGCCGATGCCGAGCGAGCTCCGGTAGCTTTTGTCTTTGATATAGGTCTTCATATCCCGAGCAGCGGCCTTGATAAAGGCCGCGGCGCTGGTTTGGTTCATCTGGTTGACAACCTCGTTGCCTATAAAGAAACCAACGACATTGTCGTACTTTTGAAAAGCATCGATGACACTGGTGTATCGCTCGTATTGATCGACCGTCCACACGGGAGAGTTCGCTTCGATAGAAATGTCGGGCGAGGACAAGTCACTGATCACGTAGATGCCTGCGTCGGCAAGCTTCTGCATACAATCATCGTGATTCTTGGATGGGTCCAGGGTGTATGTCCGAATAACATTTGTGCGCAATTGCGTGAGATAGGGAATGTCGCGCTCGCAACTGGTGAGATTGAACAGCGGATCCTGGTAGCCAGAATCACTTGTCTGACCGGTGCCACCTGCTCCTCCGCCACTGTAGTTCTCTGCAAGTTTATCAGTACTGGTTGGATTTGGCGAAGCTTGTTGTCGTACCCTGATAGGCTATGCCTCGGATGTAGCTAATCTACTAAGTTATTATGTGTGATTCCCGTGGACGGAGATAAACTTACAACTCGGTTCCATTGTTGGAATAGAAAAATTTGGAGCCCTGGGGAGCATTGTAATTAGTTTGGATGATGTTTCAAAAAGGGCCGAAATATCTACTTTGATTTCGATGGTGGGGATGCTAGCAAGAGCACTTTCGACGAGCAGCAAGGCTGCCGCGAATGCTCGAAGCTTCATTTGGCGTAAACGAATGTTTAGTCTGAGAGATCCGACGTGGCGACAAGCGACAAGCGAGCGTGAGGGACGACAAAAGAAAGTAAAGGGAAAGTTCCAGGGAGTACGTCCTTGCTCAATAGGGTTTGCAGCAGCCTAGAAATAAGCGTCGTGACTAGGGTGCGTGATTGTAAGCGAGGTTATGCTGGTCAAATCATGGCTCGAATGTCTCAGACTATTTCCTTATTTAGAGACATCCGGCATCCGACGGCTCGAGCAGCGAGAACTAAACAAGCAATAAAAAAGTGGACTTGACGTCGCTAGTCCTCAATCAAGCAATTTTCTATACAGCTAGTAATCTAAATCGTACACTAACGTCGCCCATCCGAGATTTCATACGTTATCCTATCAAATAGCCGTCTTTCAACCCATTTCGAGGTCATTTCCAACTAGGTATTTCTCGTATTCTACTGGCTGCCTAGGCTCCAGGGTTTCTCATGGGGTATTTAACAACCATGGATACTATTGAGACCAAAAGCCTCTACTAGAGGGCTCGAGCGCAACCTTGTAATTAAAACCAGAGCTATTGGCAAGCCAGTGCAAATATACGGGATTGCAATTTATTTAGTGAACCCAGGTGTCATGTAACATCATCCACCTGTAGAAACGGTGATTTAAGCAAGTGAGAAAATTACGTCCCGCTTTAAAAAAAAATCATTAGTCTGAGCAATAAGCATAGCAATTAGCAGGGCCGGGCCGCATCTCAATCTTTTTCATTGGAAGCTCGTAACTCATAAAGATATACTAATTCAGTGATCACGGTGCGCATCTCGCCCCAAAACCCCTGGATGTCCGAGGTTCGCAAGGGAATGCCGCGGAGGAAGGGTTCTCTCTGTTTGCGCTAATGCGGGCTAACATGAGTCCCGGGGGTTTTATTGCTTGTTTATGGCTAGGTTCTACGCCACCAAATGAACTGGTTGTACCAACCCAGCGCTACTAGTAGGGGGGCCGTTCCCTTTAGAGCACAGCTCTCATGTTTGCTTACTAGGTTGACCCTGAGTCTTCTAAGAGCCCTTTCATTCAACACCGTTTTTCTATCTTCTTGGAGATTCTGGGAAAATTGAATACAGGGGGCCAAGTGAGTCACACTCTCGCCGGTTCCTCCCGGCCAAAGTCCCTCTCGAGTGGTAGCTATTCCCGCAGATTGAGACTATAGTGACTTGAATCTGTTGAGGTAAACGCCCTTCTATGGCAAAGTATATAGTCAAGCCTCGCCAAGCATCCCTCTGTGAAGCTTACCCGCAACCCCACCGGTGATCGACAATGACTTCAGCGCGCACAGGCCAGAATCGACTCTTCACAGCTACCTGTTGATCTCCTGGTCATCATTTTCCAGCAATGTACGGACTCCACTTCGCTTTGGGGTCTCATCAACACATCCTCTTGCATATCCCTGTTCAATGAGCGAGCTTGTGATATCGTCAGTACTATTCTGAACACGACAGTTCCGTCTTCGAGTCGAGTACTTATGCAAGCTGTTTTCCCCACCATGACTATAGTACCGCCGTTAGTATTAGAACGAGTATTTAGATAAGTATTTAAAAAGGAGATCAAATATGTGTTTGAATCTATATCTGAAAGAGGATTTGAATGACTATTAGACCGAGCAAAGCAGATCCATTTCCTTGTGCCTCAATAGTAGGCATACGTATCAGCCCATTAAATACAACCCCCCTAAATAAGTAAGACATTCACGATTCCTTAGCCCACTGCTTGCCACTCCACAGGCCCCCAGTAGTCCATAGCCAGTAGTCCCGGCCCTTGATCGCCCACACCATCCAACTGGGCACTTGGTAGCCCATGGCGGCGCCCACGCCCTTACTCTTTCCAATTGGCACGAGCTGCATCTCACGAGTATCCTCCTTAAACAGACGATCATCGGGGACGGTACTTTCCTCCTTCCCAGCAGCGAGAAGCAAATCCCGCTTGATATTCGCACACAGAATGGGAACCGTATTCAAAATATTGTGCACTGCGGGACGCGCATGCGATCCCACATCGCCAACCGCGTAGACCCGTGAACCAGCAGCGTCCACACGCAACGTAGACGAGTTGGTCTCGATCTGGCCCCTAGCCGTCAATAAGGACTCGTGTATGAAGCTGGTATTAGGCACTGCGCCGGTGGCCGGAATGTAAAGGTCGGCTTCGAGAGTCTGGCCGTCTTCCAGGGTCACTGTCGCATTAGTCGTCAGAGCATTCTCAGTTCCTGCACCAGGTGGTGATACAGTTGCAACACGCGAGCCCTTGACTACCTTTACGCCAACCTGGGCGAGGAGTTCCTCCGCCTTCTTCGCGATTGCGGGCCGCAAGACGGGGAGGATCTTCGTGTCCGACGTCACTAGGGTAATGGGGACCTTGGGATTCTGCATTCCATTGCTGAACCAGCCGGCGCGGCCGTTGAGATATTCGCCTAGCTCACCGGCTGTCTCTACACCGGCCGGGCCTCCACCTGCTATGACTATGTTTTTGGCGTTGGGGAGAGCAGTGCGGAAGGCATTCCAATTAGCGCGGAGGGACTCGGAGTCGCGGTTCAGTCCTAGTAGAGGCGACGCGGTGGATGTGCCTGTGGCGATGACTAGTGCGTGGTATCCGATCTTCTTGGTTTCGGCCCCCTTGAGGGTCACAGTGACATGGCGATCCTCGTGGTGGAGTCCCGTCGCGGTACCTTGAATGAACTGGAAACCGTTCGGGTACTGCTCAAATTGCTTCGGTACACTGACGAAGAGCTTCTCCTGGGGGAACATGTCATCTGAGATCAATGCACGAGGAGTTGCCGGGCGACAAATGACCTGCGACGAGGTGCTGACGAGGACGACCTGATAGCTCGCTTTGTCGGGCAGCTGAGGGACGACATGTTTGAGAAGGTAGTGCACGACGGATATGCCCCCGTAGGAACCACCCAGGACGACAACATTCTTGCTCTCCTTGACCATCGTGGGCAGGCAATGAGATATTAGGAATTGGTGAAGGTCGAGACGTGGTCGAAGATGCAGGTAATAGAGGACTGAAGAGAAAGTTCCCCCTCCCCTATCCTCTTCGTCCAGCATTACCAATCTAACCCTCCCTGGTCCCATGGCTTGCGACGGGTTCAATCACCAGTGAGTACTTTTGATGGCTGACGGGCCAAGACAGTGCACTCGACCGAGCCGAGTCATCGGAACCCGACTGCCGCCTGCGGAGGTCGGGACCCGGACTTTTCACTCCCGCATTTCTCACATCAGATTGTCCTCCTCCGGTTGCCCAGCTGGAGGATCGTGCGGGGAATGAGAATCGAGGAGAGATGGCTGTCGAGGTAAAGAAAGGTGGTGCATCTGGGTTTCTTGTTGCCCGGACATCGCCCGTCAAACAACCAACTCAACCTTACTACCATGCCCACCCTAGTCTCCCATAGAACTCGATTAGCCAAAGAGCCCGACAGTCATTTGGGTAAAGACGAACTATCCCAATTAATTATGATCGATCTATACACCTGGTCATACACTTGGAGCCGGTGGGGTGCGGCAGTATTCTTAAGTAATCATTCGGGCGAAAGGCCTCGGGGCTTGGATTTGCTGTATAGGAGTGCAATATATCTAATCTTAGGCTTCTAAAGGGTCTTACACTACGCTGAAGCCAATGACATTCTAGTTCCTTAACTTATCACTTCAAACATTTATAGTGTCTTAAAACCACACGTCGCCGAGGCTTACTTTAATCGCTAGGGCACTAAGTATAGAATTAATACAGATGCTACGCCTTCCCTGTGATGGTTGGGCAGATGGTTTAGCATAAAGATGGGTCCATTTCATTTTGCCCTTTAGATAATTCCAAATTACTTTAGCTCCCATTTATCTCCCTCAGACACAATCTCAACAGGCCGCCTCTCATCCAGCGACTTACGTCCAGCGTCTAGGATAGCAGTTGTGGCAATGGTATTGCGGAGGGTAGGCAGTGGGCGGGCATCCAGCTGATCAAGGGTCACACGGCCCTCGTTTACGGCAGTCACAGCATCAATAAACTTCTCGAAGCTGATGTAGCCGTATCCGGTCTGTCCACTGAAGTTGCCCTCCTCATCGGGAGCGTAGCGCATATAGAATCTGCGTTTGGGGTTAGACTTGTAAACTGTATGAGGGATACTTGGAAGGCCTTACGGGTTCACCCAGATCAGACCCTGGTCATCGCCGGTCACGTCGTAGCCGCGCTTGGCTTGGTTAACGCGGATTTCACCGTTGGCGGCCATATCTGGTTCAATGCGTTAGAATATTGTATGTGGGAGTTAATAGGTGTCCAAGAGATAATGAACATACAGTGGAAGTACTGGTTGGAATGAACACCAGCGTTTTGAGGTGCTGTCCAGCTAGCAGTATAGACACCGGTAGCAATCTTCGATGGGTCGTCACGACGGCGCCACTCAACCAAAAGAGTAATAGTATCCTCGGTCTCGGGGACACAGCCAAGTGCAGCAGCGGTACCCTGGGATGCAGTAGCTGTGACCCGCACAGGCTTGTATTCCGGGACCATGCTCTCACAGATATCGATGTGGTGAGAGTTCAGGTAGTAAGAGATATCAGAATCACGGCCGGCCCAGGCCTTGAAGGTTTCGAGCTGGCTCTTAGGCTGACTCATGTAGCTGTAGAAGTAGTTGAAGTCACCGAGGGTCTTAGCCTTGGCCCGCGCATCAGAGTACGCGGGGTCGAAGCGCTTGTGGTGCTCGACGAAGACGAAAACGCCGTGCTTGCGCGCGGCCTCGACGAGGGATAGGTGGTCGCCTAGCCGCTGGGTTGCGGGCTTGGTGATCAACACATGGTGCCCGCGCTCAATGGCGTACAGGGCAATGGGGTAGTGGGTTGAGTCGGGGGTGAAAATTGTAATGGCGGAGCCACGGGGGAGGGCGTCAATGGCGGTCTTGTATGCGTCTGGATCTGTCTGGTCGTCCGCGGGGAACGAGGCAAATGAGGTGTCGAGGTTGTTGTAGACCTGTGAGA